CGAGGCACGGGCAGATGCGCGGCGCTTGCACGGGGTTGCATCAGCCCGGCCGGCTGAGCTGGGCTGCGCACAGCTGAGCTCAGCGCGGCCCCAGCCCGGCTCCGGGGACAGCGGCACGGGGCTGCAGGGCTGTGAAAACACCCGGAGCCGAGCGTCCGCTCGCGGCACCCCAGATCAGAGAGGCGTCCCCAAGGCAGAGCGCCAGCGCGGCACCAGGGCGTCTGGGGAGGCTCTGCACCCGCGGGGACGCCCAGATTTGAGGCGGGAGGGCCGGGCTGGGGGTGCAGCCCGCCCTTGCCGCCGGCACCCCACTTCAAAGTGCTGCCCCACACACGGGGACCGAGCGTCCTGGCTCGGCGTCCCCGCCACCCACTAATGAGTATTTACGCGGGGCCGCGGAGCTGCCACACCGGGCTGCGCGTGTCCCCAGGGCACCGAGGGGCTCCCAGCCCCGACAGCCACCCCACAGCAGGCAGGCACTGCCGGAGCCCGCGGGGGCCCTGCAGGATGGGGACAGCTGTGAAGCTGCCCGGGGAGCTTGTCCCGGCACCCCCAAAGCTGGGAGCAGCTCCAGCCCTGAGGGACCGTGGGGTGCCCGTGCCAGGCACTGAAATTCCACTCGCCCCACGGTGCATCGCTCACCCCGCATCCAACCGGACAGGGCCACCACGTCCCGGCCATGCTTGACCCCACTCTTGCCCCACATCAGGGCCAAGCTCACCTCTAAGACAAGACCACTAACACCTCTGGTTCTCCCTACACACCAAGCCCACCCTCGCCTGCTCCCCAGCACCCAGCGGGGGGAATGTGCTCCCGATGACGTCACCCGTGTCCCCCATTACGTCGCGGCCCGGGACCGACCTGGCGGCGGCGCGGGCGGCGGCCGAGGGAGGTGCGGGCGGTGTAGAAGAGCTCGGGCTCGGAGTCGGAGTCCTCCTGGCTGCAGTAGCCGCTGCTGGCCGTGCTGCCCCCCGTGGCCCCCGGGCCGGGGCCCGGCTCGGTCCGCTCCCGGCTCGGCTCAGCCCGCTCCCGGCCCTTGGCCCGGCCCCGCTCAGCCCGGCCCTTGGCCCGGCTCGGCTCCGTTCGGTCCCTATCGCGGCTTGGCTCCGCCCGGTCCCGGTCTCAATCCTGACTCGGCTCCGCCCTGTCCCGGCCTCAGTCCCGGCTCGGCTTCGCCCGGTCCCTATCGCTGTCCCGCTCGGCTCAGCCCGCTGTCTATCGCGGTCCCGTTCCCGGCTCGGCTCAGACCAGCCCCTATCGCGCTCCCGTCCCGGCTCGGTTCGGCGCGGCGTCTACCGCGCCCTGCCCCGTTCCCGGCTCAGCGCGGTCCCCGTCGCTGCCCCGCCCCGGCCGTGGGGTGACGCGGGCCGGGGGCGGCCCCGCTTCCGGCGGTGACTTCACCCGCGCCCGCCCGGACATGGCTTTGCCTCGGCTCGGCTCGGCGCGGCGCGGACAGCGCGGCACGGGCACGACACAGCACAGCCCGACATGGCACAGCCCGGCATGGCACAGCACGGCATGGCACGACCTCACTCAGCCCAGGCCAGCCCAGTGCAGTGCAGTCCATCAAGGCTTGGCACAGCCCAGCACGGCGCAGCATAGCCCGGCATAGCACAGCCTGGCATGTCAGCTTCGCTCAGCTCAGCTCAGCTAAGCCCAGCCCAGCCAGGCTTGGCACAGCCTGGCACGGCACAGGCAGGCATGCCATGACATGGCCTCACATGGCACAGCCCAGCATAGCTCCCCCAGCCCAGCCCAGCTCCCAGCTTTGCCACCCCCCGCCCAAGCTCCCCCTCACAGCCAGCCCCAGGGCCTACCACGTTGGTGTCCTTCTCCAACACCTGCTCATCGCCATCGTCCTCGTCACCAGCACCCGGGGGGCCACCACAGTCCAGCTGCACCAGGGCCCGGCACCGGTAGTGGCAGGTGAAGCTGCAGTCTGGGACAGAGACAGGAGCAGGGTCACCACTGTGCCCAGCCTGGCTGTCAGGGTCAGGGCACTGGTGGAACAAGGGCTGGCACTTGGTGACAGTGTCAGCTGTCTGCTCATGCTGTGCTCAGGGGCTCAGGGGCAGCACCAACATGGGACACAGCACTGTGCCACATCCTGGCCGGTGCCGCTGTGCTCTCTGCTGGGCTGGCCAGCACGGTGTGCTCAGTGCCTGGGACTGGGATGCCCAGTACTGGGATGCCCAGTATGGGCACCAGTGTGGGTATCCAGTATTGGGATGCCCAGTGGCTGATGTGGGTGCTGGAATACCTGGTGCAGGTACCCAGTACAGGGGTGCGTGGTGCCAGGTGAGGGCACTCTGTATGGGGCTGCCAGCGCCTGATGTGGGTGCCCAATACAGGCGTGTCCAGTGTTTGGTGGCAGTCCCTGGTGCCCAGAGGCCCAGTGCCTGGTGCAGCTGCCCAGAATGGTGATGCCCAGCTTAATGGAAGTGCCTGGCACCAGGATGCCGGGTGGGGGATAGTTGGTATTGAGATGCCTGTACCCAGCCCGGTGCTGGCATGTTGGGTGCCCGGTGCCCAGTGGTGGGACAGCTGGTGCTCAGTGAGGGGCCTGCTACCAGGGGGTGGGGGCCCGTGGGGGTGCCCGATGGCAGCACGCCCGGTGCTGGCAAGCTCATGCCCAGTGGTGGGACACCCCGTGCTCAGCGGGGCTGCCTGCTACCAGGATGCTCTATGTCCTGTGGGGGTGCCCGGTGGGTGGGATGCCCGGTGGGGATGCCCAGCGGCATCCGGTGCTGCTGGGGCAGCCCGGTGCGGAGGAAGCGGGGCGGGGGACGCCCGGTGCCAGGCGGGGTGCGGGGTGCGGGCACGCCCGGCGGCGGGGCGCGGGGCGCGGCGCGGTACTCACGGCGGCGCTGCTCGGCGGCGGGGCGGGGGCCGGCACCGGGCCGGGGCCGGGGCGGGGAGCGGGAGGGGCCGCCCCGGTCGGGAACCGTGGGGAAACTGAGGCAGGAGAGGCGGGGGGAACGGCGCAATGCCCCGGGCTTCCGAGGGCCAACTCCAGCCCCGGCGAGCCCGGCGGGCGGGCTGGAGGCGGGGATGAGGCTCCCGGAGCCGCCGCGGAGGAAGGGGGGCCCCGCTGCAGCCGCTCCGCTCTCTGCCTCTTCTCGCAGGAGAAGGACAGCCCGCGCTCCCTGCCTCAGTTTCCCGGTGGGGAAGGGGCTGGAGGCACCTCTGGCGGCGGGTGAGCAGCAGTCGGAGAGCCACGGAGAGCGCTCCCGCTGCCGCAGCCCTGGCCGTGCAGCCTGGGTTGGGGTGAGGAGTTTATTGAGCGCGGGCTGCAGCCGGACGGAGATGGTTTCCTGCTGCTCCTGCAGCAGCAGCAGCCCTGCTGCAAAGCCTATTTTTATGTCAGGGATTCTCCAGCACCCCGTCAGACAAAGGACATGGCAAACCTTTCCCAGCTGTGCTCAGACCAAGGCTCCAGCCCTTTGGCAGCAGCTGCTGATCAGTGAGAGGTGGGGATGCACCCCAAGGCATCCCTACCAGTAAACCCTGTTTACTGGTAATGCTGGTGGGCAGGGGGCCAAGCCCTTGGTGCTAACATCACATCAAGGGAGAGGAAATAGGGTGAATTGTCCCTGCAAGGTGGGAGATGACAAATACCCGGTCGGGAACCGGGGGGAAACTGAGGCAGGAGAGGCGGGGGGAACGGCGCAATGCCCCGGGCTTCCGAGGGCCAACTCCAGCCCCGGCGAGCCCGGCGGGCGGGCTGGAGGCGGGGATGAGGCTCCCGGAGCCGCCGCGGAGGAAGGGGGGCCCCGCTGCAGCCGCTCCGCTCTCTGCCTCTTCTCGCAGGAGAAGGACAGCCCGCGCTCCCTGCCTCAGTTTCCCGCTGGGGAAGGGGCTGGAGGCACCTCTGGCGGCGGGTGAGCAGCAGTCGGAGAGCCACGGAGAGCGCTCCCGCTGCCGCAGCCCTGGCCGTGCAGCCTGGGTTGGGGTGAGGAGTTTATTGAGCGCGGGCTGCAGCCGGACGGAGATGGTTTCCTGCTGCTCCTGCAGCAGCAGCAGCCCTGCTGCAAAGCCTATTTTTATGTCAGGGATTCTCCAGCACCCCGTCAGACAAAGGACATGGCAAACCTTTCCCAGCTGTGCTCAGACCAAGGCTCCAGCCCTTTGGCAGCAGCTGCTGATCAGTGAGAGGTGGGGATGCACCCCAAGGCATCCCTACCAGTAAACCCTGTTTACTGGTAATGCTGGTGGGCAGGGGGCCAAGCCCTTGGTGCTAACATCACATCAAGGGAGAGGAAATAGGGTGAATTGTCCCTGCAAGGTGGGAGATGACAAATACCCAAGAAACTCTTTCTCACAGCAAGATGCTCGTGCAAACCACATCCTCTGCTCCCCACACTGCTCTAACGATGGTAAGAGGCAGCACAGAGGCCTTCTCACTCCCTTCCCTCCCCAGCTGCAGTAAGGTAACCACAGCCTTATAGGCTTTTTGGGGTTCTCTGGGATTCTGTTTTTGCAGAGGGGAAAAGGGACACACACGTCTCACTGTGTGGAAGGGAGGGGAGGAAGCAGCTTGTTACCTTCAGCTAGTGCGGGGTGCGGGCACGCCCGGCGGCGGGGCGCGGGGCGCGGCGCGGTACTCACGGCGGCACTGGAGGCTCTTCCTGCCGCCGCCCCAGACGAAGTCCCCGCAGAGATCGCACCAGGTGTGCAGCCCGCGGCGCCGCGGCTCGAAGCGGTGCCCGGCGCCCGGCGCGTGGGAGATGACAAATACCCAAGAAACTCTCTCACAGCAAGATGCTCATGCAAACCACATCCTCTGCTCCCCACGCTGCTCTAACGATGGTAAGAGGCAGCACAGAGGCCTTCTCACTCCCTTCCCTCCCCAGCTGCAGTAAGGTAACCACAGCCTTATAGGCTTTTTGGGGTTCTCTGGGATTCTGTTGTTACAGAGGGGGAAATGGACACACACCTCTCACTGTGTGGAAGGGAGGGGAGGAAGAAGCTTGTTACCTTCAGCTAGGAGAGAAAAAGCAGAAGCCAAGCAGCTGTGGGATGCACAAGGAGGTTTATTGGAGGAGGCAGCATGGTGGGGTGGTGGGAGAGGAGGGCTGACCCTGGCTAGTGCTGCCTGGGGCTGGGAGCAGGCAGAAGGGGCCTTTGCCAGCTCTGGGCTGCACAGTGGGGGAATCTCTGCCTCTCTGGGCCAGATGGCAGACACCACTTTTCCTCACAGGTCATCCACACTCCTCGCCCCCTCAGCCATCAGGTTGCAGGCAGGCTTGTGCTTCTGCCAGTGCTGCACCTGGCATGCCCTGCAGAGGGGGAAGCTGCTGTCAGGGGCACTGGAGTCACATCCATCCCTGGGGCCAAAGCAGCAAGAAGGACAAACTCCAGCACCACACCCCTCTGGGAGCTGGGGGAGAGCTGATACAGCCCAGCATTAGACCAGGAGGAGGGTGGATGTGGCCCCAGTCCTGGGGGTTAAGAAGGTTTAACGCCAGACCTTGCCAGATGGTTCAGGACCAGAGATTTAATTTACTGCCACCGTCCCAGCTGCCACATCCCAGCCTGTCACCTGCACCCACAGGGTCATGGGTGCTTTCCTACTCCTGCCCCACCAAGGTGGGGAGGAGGGAGGCAGTGTCACCACGGCAAACCCAGCCTGTCACTGCTGCTGCTGTGGGCAGAGGCAGCTCAGCACCTCGCAGCTGCAACACAACCCTCACCAGCACCTCCTCCACCAGCAGCCCATCACACCAGCCTCTCACCAGGTTTGGAGAGCTAGTGGTGCTGAGCAGTGGTGGGAGCCCTGGCTTTCCTTTGCCCTCCCACAGCATTTGCCAGTGAGACCTGTGGTGCTCTGGGGATCCCAGGGAGCTGCAGGGGGCCCAGGGGGCTGCAGGGCCCCGTGGGGTGGCAGGGCTCCCTTACCGTGAGCAGTACCACTCGTTGCGGCAGCGGGAGCAGCGCTTGGCTGCTTCTGCACCACACACCCTGCAGCGGGGCTTGTCGGGGGCCAGAGCCTCCATCAGGTCCAGGCTGTAGGTCTGTGCCCACCTGTGCAGGCAGAGAGGGGTGAGGCTGCTTACAGGGAATGGCTGAGTGGCAGTGAGCTGTCCCTGTTGCACCCTGCCACTGAGGGGACATCTCCAGCCAGGGCCACAGACCCCTCTGTCCTCCCAGTGCTGAGCTCCAGCCCTGCTCATGGGGATACTGGCCCCACTGGGCACTCTGCACCCCTGCTCCAGCCTCACCTGCGTGCCTGCAGCTTCAGCTCCTCCTCGGTGGGGCTGAAGGCGTGCTTCACCTGGTGCTTGGCAATGGCCTCCCACTTCCCTGAGTTTTTCTTGAGGATATGGTCCCTGATGATAGGAACCTGGTGGGAGAGGCAGGGCAGGAGGAGGAGGTGTTAACAGCCTCAAAAGGATGCTGTGGCCTGGGGAGAAGGCAGCCAGCCCTGGGCACAAGAAGCATGGCCCTGCAGGAGGGCAAGCAGAGGCAGAGGTGGTCAGGGTGTGCTTTTGGGTACATGGAGAGGACAGATCCACCCGCCAGTGGGCATTGAGGTGAAACAAGGCAAAACCTTCGGGGTCCAGCTGGGAATGAGTGCTCAGCCTTGAGGCCTGGGCTGCTGAGATGAAAGCCCTGGGACCTCAGCACCCTGCGTGTGGCAGCGGCGTGAACCCCGTGCTCCAGAGCCGTTTGCCTGAGCAGATTTTTCCGCTCGTCACTTCCCTGAGATGAACACCCGGGGAAGGGCTGGCCAGGCAGAAGGAAACATCCCAGCCAAGAGCAGCGTGCTGAGTTCAGGCTCTGGAGGGAACCATGCTGCTTCAAACAGCGCTGCCTTCTCCAGCAGAGTAAAAATAGCCAAGGAAGGGGAGGAGGCTGCTCTGGGAGCAGTCAAATGGAAAAAGGCCGTTCCTTAGCTTGGCTCAGCAACAAGGAGTGAGTTCAGCACTCTCTGGGCAGAGCAGGGAGCCCATGCCTGTCCCCAGGCTCAGCCCCAGCCTTGGCAGGGGCAGGAGCAGCACTGGCACAAAAGCAGAGCTGTGGAGAAGGGCAGCAGCTGGAGGAGGTCCCCAGCATGGCAGCTGCTTGTCACTGTGCCACCAACACTGGCAGTCAAGGCACGGGTTGTGAATCCATGTCCACCCCCACCCTGCTGCCATCCCCAGCCCCAACAGCTCAGCTTGCCAGTCTGCAGCTTCCCCAGCCCCAGCTCCCAGCCTGGGCCATGCCTCCAACTCAGCCACAGCCACCTCTGGCAGGGCACACCACCCTCCTGCCACGTCATACAGCCAGCTGCCATGGGGACAGCATGCTCCCACTGGGGACAGCGTGCTCCCACTGGGGACAGCCCAGACAGCCACTGCCCAGCAGACCCATCTCCTCAGGAAGCGGTGTGGGAGCCTCTGGCAGTGGGGAAGAGCCTCTGTGCTCCCAGTTCTTCTCAGCAGCCTCTTTGCAGATCTGCCCCTCACTCAGTTTCTCCCCTCAGCTCACAAGAAGGCAGTAAATAACACATAAAAACACTTTTCTCCAGAGATTACCACCACATGAATTAAAACCTCCAAGAACCTCTTGGCTACTTAAAGACCTTCATGGCCTAACTCCCAAAGGCCCAGACACCAGCTGGGACCAGTTTAACTCCAGACTCTATCACCAGATCATGATGTCCTTTTGCTGGTAATAAGGATGTAACTGAAATGGGTACTTGGCTGCTTTTCCAGGGCATCATCACTCCAGAGCTGAGCTTGGTGGAAGAAAAAAAGGGTAGGGAGCCCTCAGACTTATCCAGAGCAGCTGTAGGGGTGAAGGAAAAGCCACAGGATACCTGCTCCAGGATGAGATCCTTTTTGGGAGGAGCAGGGTCTGTCACTGCCAGGTAACTCAGGAATCTCTGCATCTCCACCAGGTTGGGCAGCTGGTCAATGAGGACATCTGTCAGGAATGCACGGAGCTGTGGCCGTGGAGGGAGGACAAAAGTGAACAGAGAGGGGTCAGGACAAGGGAGTCAGAGCTGGGGATGCAGCAGGGCAAGAGCAGGGATTAGAGGGGCAGAGAGACCAGTGGGGGTCTCACAAGGTGCACGCACAAACACAAGCTCTGCTGCTGCCACAGTGACAGACCTGCTGTTCTCCCACCACTGGCTCCTGGAGCCCGCAGTGAGGATGGGCACAGATATCTGGAGTGCTGGCAAGGGCCCAGGGCTGTCGTGCTGCAGGGTCCTACCTTGAGGAGCTGGCTCTTGTTGAAGCCATCGAAGCGGTATTTGCGCTGGCACTCGGGCCTGAGCAGGAGGTTGAGCAGGGCAAGCCACACCTGCCCATCGAGCTTGGTCATCTTCACCTGGTCCTCAGGGGGCACCACGTGCCATGTGCCATTCTCAAACTTCTTGAGCTTGCCTGAGGGACAGAAGAACCAGGGAGACACAGTGCTGCCTGGGGGAAGACAGCTCAGAAGGAGGATGCTGGCCTGTACTCACTGCCTCACTTCACCGTCTGCTTCTTCCTCCCTCAGTTTCCCCACCCTTTGCTCCACATAGCAGCCTACTTGGTACTGAGGCAAAATATTAGAGAACATGAAAAGCAGAAAAGACATGTATGAAACCAATATAGCTGTGGCAGGAACAAAAGATCCCTGAGACATCTCCCTCTGTACTTGGCCAGGAGTGTAGAGCACTGGTGGGCAGCAGGGCAGCCCAAGCTGCAACAGCAGAGTGGGTGGAGAGACTCATTCTGGGGTACCATGGCCACTCTTCTCGAGTTTCCCCTGCCAGGCAAAGCCAGAAGCAGCATGACTGTAACAGATATGACAAAGCAAGCTCCAACAGCCACTGTGTGGCTCTAGGGGATGGAGCAGGATGTGACCCTGCATGTGCACAGCCTGGAAATGCCTTTGTGCCTCTTTCCAGTCCCTCCCTCGGGGCCCTGGATCAAAGCTCCCTCTCACACCCCGAGCCCACAGGCAGGGAGAAGGGATGTGTTCCTGGCTGGAGGAAGGAGGAAAGCTCCTGCATCCAGCTGGGCTGCTCCCGGCAGGCACAGCCACGTGCTTCCCTGAGCTGTGCCTGCCCTGTCCCCGCTGTGACCCCCGAGCGGGGCTGGGGCAGCGCGGTTCCCACGCCCCAGCTGTGCCCCACTGCAGGGGAGGCAGGGGCTCTGGGGGCTCTGGGGCCGTGCCTGGCTGCAGAGCTGTGGGACCACAGCCAATGGGCACAGCCTGAGCAGGGGCCTTTGGCAAGAGTGAGGCTCAGGGACCAGCAGCAGAATCAGGGCAATGTTTGCTGCCTGCGAGAGACCACGGCTGGCTCCCGTGGGTGCTGCCCCAAAAGGTGCAGGGAAGCTGGGACTGGCACTCTGGTCTTTCTGTGTCCAGAAGAGTCCTCAGAGGAGCACGTGGGGCTGGCCGAGGTGCTCTGCTCCAGAGCTGGCTGTGATCACTCAGAAGAGACCCAGCCCTGTGTGAGGATCAGCTTTTGGGAGCACTGCCGGGCCCCCAGCCCAGCTGTGCTGCAGCTGCTCGAGATGAACAGCTTCAGGCAGGGAGCACTGAGGAGCTGGAGGGGAGGGGGAACACTGCAAGGGCTCCTACAGCAGATCCCTCAGTGGATCACACCCCAGCACAGCAACAGGGTGTCCCAGAGACCGTGGGGTGTGATCCATACCTGCCTCCCAGCAGCTCCAGGGGCAATGCTCCACCAGCTCGACAAGGAGGCAGGGCAGGTTGTGGGTGTTCAGCATCCGTGTCAGTGCACTCAGGGGCAGACTGCAGATATGACAGAAGGGGAGAAATGGCACTCACAGGTTAATGCCAGAATTTTTGTCTACAAATGCTCCCCGAGGCAACTGGGAGAGGCAGGAAGGAAACATTGATCTGAGTTCCCAGGAGTAGCGTGGAGCAGGGTGGGCTGCTGCTGTGTTTGCCCCCCAGAGCACAGTGCCACTGCCACTGTGGGCACAGCCAGCTGCTGAAGGGGGTGCAGGCACCCGCTGTGACCCCACAGGAATCCCATCTGGAGAGCTGGGCACATCCTCTGCTGCTCCTGGGCACCCACCTGTCCAGCTGGTCAGTGATGAACCGCAGCACGGACAGGGCCTTCAGGGAAATCTCAAACTCCATCACCTCTGCCTGCTTCTGCAGCTCCTGTGGGGGGACAGGATCAGCCTTGGGATTTCAGCCCCATTTCCCAGGAGTTACAGAGAGACAGGCTGTTGACTGCATTGGTAACCACAGTCTGGGTAGGAAAACAGAGCCCTGAAAAACAGTTTCTTGTCTCAACTGTGCCAGCACTGCCTGTTTGCCAGCGCAGCCACAGAAGTGCTTGCAGCCTGCAGTTGCTCTTCCCTCATGTCCTTGCCCCTAACGGGTCGTGGGTGGCTGCTGACTGCAGTGCTCCTGCACAAGAACACCCCTGGAAGGGGCTGGTCCCAAATTTTGCCTTTCTCCCTTTCTGGGACCATCTTGTGGCCCTGTGAGGGCTGAAGGAGGGGAGAGCTGCATGATCAGCAGAGGAACCAGAGGAGGAGGAAGAGGAGGGAGGAACTTGGCCCTGGTGCAGCTGCAGTCCTGTGTCCACTCCTCCTGGATCTGCCTCTTCCCTCCAGCCAGGGAACAGCCAACTAGAAATCTGCCTGTGGTTATCCCAGCCCACAGCTGTGCCATGCTCTCCAGCCCAGCTCCTTCCCTTCCCAGGCAGCACGGACACCCCACTCATCCCCCATCGGCCTGACTCAGCCTCTTTCGAGGTGCCAACTCCTTCTCCCTGGCTCAGGCAGAGCTTCTCTCCAGCCCAGATGCAGCTCACACTCGGTGTGCAGAGCTGACCTCAGCAGAGCCACTGCAACAGTTGCTGTCCAGATTTCTGCAGGAAGCAGCTCTCTGCTCCCTGTACTGGTGCCCCACAGTTACTAACAGAGCCTTGTGGGCTCTTCCCTGCCTCCTCCTCTCCAAACTGCCCTAGTGAGGTTTGTCCTACAGCTCCTCCTGGCATCCAGACCTCATCTCTGCTGCCTTGAGACAGGGATTATCTTTTGCCTGTGCTTTGAGGGGACAACAGCACAGGGGTTACCACCATACACAGCTCCAAAGGACAACAGGCTCCACAACCCAGGAGATGGCAGGAACAGCTTTTTCACAGGGGTTACTGAACACAGGGTCAGGAGAGGCTGGAATGAATCAGAGGAAACCAGGCTCTCTGGAAGATGAGAGCTTTTGAGAATCCTATTGGCTAGAGAAGGTCTGGGTTTTTGTGTTCGTGTCAAAAGCAGTAACAGAAACACCCCTTTCCCCTCCCCAGCTGGGAAAACATTTCCTGGAAAACATCCCTATTGTGCTCCAGATCCCTCCACTTCCTTCCCTTTTCTGAAAGAGAAGTATGTGCTTGGGCAACAAGCCAAAGGATGGAGGCGAGGGGAGGTTCAGGCTCTCCCTTTAACCCTGCTCTTCCAGATACTCCTCCCGATGTGCAGCTCCAGGTGCTGAGAAGCACCAGAGGCAAAGGCAGCTCCTGCTCTGGGAAGGGCTCTGTGTGTGTGTCAGCCTGGGAATACCTGCTGGAACAGCTCTGGGATCGCTGCTGGCCCACACCAGCTCAGAGATGGTGTTTATCAGGGAACAAAGGGAGCTGGGGGAAGCACATGAGGACGATTCCTGGTTGTTAGGAGACCCTCTCATGGATAACCCTGGCTGGCTGTACTGGCAGCCTGACCCGGGGTGGCTTCCCAAACTTCAGGGAGAGATATCCACACAGCTTCCAAGAGCAACAGCAAATGGCCAAAGCCCTCTACTGAATATTTTGCCCATCAACTCTCCAGCATGTCCCACCCCAGAGCTCTGAGCCTGTCCTGCAGGAAGCCTCAGGCTGGCACTAGCACCAGACAGGGCAGAAGCCAGGCTGCAGAGTGGGTGGGGGTGGATGCAGCCACAGGCACAGAGAAGCACCAGGCACCCTCTGAGATGGGCAGGAGGTGCCAGGGCTGCAACCCATGCAAAGGCCTCCCTGTGCCTCTGCAGGCTGCCCACATTGTTCACCACCCACGTCCCCAGGGAGCTCCAGGGCTTTCTCCTCACCTGCATGGATGAGGGGCTGGCCAGAGGCTCAGCAGGGAGCCCTGCTGAGGTCACTGCTGGTGCCTTGGTGCTCCGAGCTGCCAGCAGGGCCAGCTTGCGGTGGCAGTAGTCGATCAAATCCAGAACGCTGTCCTCTGCTGACTCACAGATCTCCTGCACAGTGACAGGGGATTCACACAGCCTCAGTCCCCACAGCCTTCCACCCCCAGGGGCTTCCCACCTGGGGAAAGCTGAACCTGTGTCTCACCTTGTGAAAGAACACTGTCTCCAGGAGGTTGATGATGGAGGCTTCGTGGTGCAGCTGTGGGAGGAGAATGGCAGGAGTGAGTAACAGTGGAGCAGCACTGGCACGTGGCACTGGGACAGGGAAAAGGGCTTTTCTGAGAAGCTGCTAAAGTTGCTGTGGCCAAAGAGAAAAACGCAAGTGATGCAACCTTCAAAACAGCTCCAGTTCATGCAGTTCATGTCAGTATTTATGCTGACATGCCTGTGACACTCCAACATGCCAGTGGAGGGCCACACTTCCCAGCAGGCAGGGATCTTCAGGGCTCTTCAGCCTGTGCTGCAGGGCAGGACAACCACTGCCCTCGGGCAAGCTGCAGGCCCTGGCACCAGAAAAGGGCTGGGACAGAGCTCTGCATGGCTGTGCTTCTCCCAGGCCTGGGGCTGGGGCAGACAGCCTTGTCCAGGACTGGGAGCTATGGAATAGCTGCCCTGAGGCAATCAGCTGCTCAAGGAAGGCACCACCTTGGCCCTGCAAGGTGTTTGTCTGGACAGAAAATGGGTTAAAACCTCTGAGCCTCAGGGAGATTTCCCTCAGGTCAAGGGCTGCATCCCCCTGCAAGGAAGCCCAGATCTGGAGATCATTCCCTTGCCAAGAATGGCCCAAGGGACCCCTAGTCCCAGGAGCTCAGTGAGAAAAAGTTACGTTTTTGTTAGCCCAGAGGCACATAACACTGGAGAGCCTCTGGCAAGAGAAAAACAGTGCTCAGAGGAGGAATACCCCAGGGGTATCACTGCCTGGGAGCACAGGCAGCACTGGGAGCCACAGCCAGGAGCACAGCTGCCTCCAGGAATGGCTTTTGCTCCACCCAGCAGCTCCTGCAAGCCCCTGTGTGGGATTGGAGAGGGGACAGCTCTCCACCAGGCCAAGCTTCCCTGGGGGTGAGCCCCTGTCCCTCCTGAGGGCAAGGCCATGGACTTTATGGGCTTTGGGAAACCAGGTACTTCCCTCTGTGTCCCACTGCCCACCTCAGCCTGAGGAGATGCACACCCTCAGCTCTGAGGCCTCCAGGGTGACATTTATTCTGAAGCACAGCAGTGCCTGAGCCATCTGCAGGCCAGTCCCACACCCCCTGTACTCACCACCACATAGATGGGGAAGGTGCTCCTCGGCCTGAAGTCCTCCAGGCGGCACAGCACGGGAAAGACCTTGTGCTTCCAGACCTCCACAGAGACCAGCTCCCCGATGAGAACAGGAATCTAGACGGGAGGGATGGGAAGTGAAGCCTTTCACACCAGGGGAACCAGCTTGGTGCTGATGGCCAGCCACACTGGAGGCACCCAGGGAGGAGGAGGCCTTGGGGCACCCTCTGTACACCAGGGCAGAGCTCTGGGGCTGCACAGGGGAAAGTGACCCCAAGGAGCTGGGCAGGTCCAGGCAACCTCACAGCCTGGGACTGGGACCCCTCAGGCACAGAGCAGAGACTTGCAACCGGAGGGACCAGTGCACCAAGGAGACCAAAACAACCTCCACGAGAGAAACCAGACACCAGCAAGTAGAAATACCACAGCTTGACCTTTAATCTTTTTAAAAACCAAAACTGGCACACCGCCAGTCAAACGTCTTTTCCAGAGACACAACAGATTCTTCGGCACTTTATTCCAAAATTGCACGCTGCCCACAGGGCAAGGCCCAGCACGGGGGTCACTCCTGCCCCCAGGGAGGCTCACCTTGGCATGGGTGACCAGCAGCTCGGTGAGGAGCTGCTCCTGGCCCGCCGAAGCGCTCAGGATGCCGTGCATGTTGAGCTTCTCCACGTACTCGTGCTGCCGAAGCCACCTGGGGGCAGCCGGGAGGACAGCAGTGCCACAGAGCCCTGGTGGCTGCTTGGTGAGGGTCCCAGGGAAACCTGCTCCCGCAGCCCCCGGCCCCACGCTGTGCCCTGAGCCGGGGCTGCAGCTCCCCGGGACAGCCCTGCCCTCCTGGCTGCCCCGAGCACCCTCACTGGGGACACCACAGCACAGGGGGAGCCTCTCCATCAACCCTACACCCCCACAGATACTCAGACCTGGGACCCCTCCTCACCCCGGGCCCTCCAATCTCCCCCAGTCCTTCCAGGAACGCTCCAGAATTGCAGCCCTTCTCTCACCCCACCCCACCCTGACCCCCTGGAGTCACCTCAAAACCAGGACTCCTCCCCTCTACCCAAAACCTTTTGGGAACCCCTCCTTAACCCCACCAAAGGCCCCAAAACTGGGCCCCCCTCCTGTGCTCCCACAGCCCCAAAGGGAACCCCATGCATTTAAAGTCCCTCTTTCGTGTTCTCCCCCCACAGACAGCCCATCGCCGTGTCCCCGCACCCCTGCCCGCCGATGTCGCGCAGCTCGGAGCCCCGCAGGGCTCGCACCAGCGCCTCGGCCTCGGCGGGCGGCAGCGGCCCGGCCACGGCGGCCATGGCGCCCCCTGGCGGCGCGGAGGAGCGGGGCGCTCCGGGGACAGCGGGGACGCGCGAGGGGACACGGCTCTAGCGGGGGCTATGGCTGCGTCAGTCACTTCCAGCACACAATGATGTTGGGGTCGTTCTCCAGGCGCTCATCCAGCTCCTTGTAACTCATGCCTGGGGAGTAAGACAGTGTGGTGTCAGCGAGGTCCCTGGCAGCGGTGTCAGAGGGTGGCTGGGTCGAAAAGCCCTGCCCCGGCAACAAGGGCTTGGCAGCCTGGCTGGGAGAAGAGCCTGGCCCACAGTCCCGTCTCCCTGAAGGCTCCCCAAGGGGCAGGACCCCAGCTGTGGGCAGGCAGCCACCCCGTGTGTCCCAACGGAGCAGAGGATCCCCGGTCCCCCGGGTCCGCACCGGTCTTGCAGCAGATCTCGTCGTAGCTGTGGCAGCCCGTGTACAGCCGGGCCGGGTGGCTGCGCTCGTCCCGGGCCACCTTGACAGGGTATTTCTGCAGCCGCCGGATAAGGCCCTTCATCAAACCAAACTGGATGAGCCTCCTGGGGACGAGGAGGGAAGAGACTGGGACCACCATGCCGAGGTGCCAAATGCCCCAGCTCCCCACACTCCCTTCTGTTCCCCACCACTGCCTCACGTTTCCTGCCCTACACACACAGAGTTGAGTACTTCCTGCTGACTCTCCCTGCCACCCCCAGTGCCACCACTGCCCTCAGGGACCGATCAGGAGGGCTCTGACCTCTCATCCACCCTCTGGAGCTGCAGGGTGTAGCGGGAGATGAGGTCTCGCACGGTGGTGCCAGGGCTCAGCCCGCAGTACAGCTGGAAGACATCCCTGAGGCTGGCTCGCTTGTGCCCTGCAAGGACAAGTCACCATTCAGCTGCCCTGCCCCCCTGCCTGGGCCAGCATCCCCAGGCAGGGTCCCTGTACCTTGTTTGGTGACATAGGACAGACACTCCTCCTGGAGGCACTTGTCATCCACCAGGTCCTGGACCTTCGGTGTGGTGCAGTAGACGTTGGAGTACTGGAGGGTGATGGAAGAGCAGCCCTGCTCAGCTGCAGCTCTGAGAGACAGGCCCAGCCCCCTCCAACCCCGTTCACCCTCCCCAGGCACTGCCCAAATCTGCTCCCAGCTCCACTCTCCGACCCACCTGGAGTATGGAGACAAGCGTGACAACCCCGTAGTACCTGCAGGGGACAGGGAAAGGTGAGAGGGGCTCCTGGCAGCCCCACCCCCGGGGCCGAGCAGCCCCTGCAGGCACTCACAGCAGGTTCTGCACGGCGATGCGCACCAAGTTCAGCTCCACGTCGGCCTCCGCCGAAATCTTCTGCACGTGCCGGAACCCGTCGATGTAGGGCAGGATCTGGGAGGGCAGCAGGTAACAGGGCGGAGAGCAGTGAGGCATCACCCTGAAGCCCAAGCAGCTCCCCTGGGTCTGGGAGCACCTGGGATGGGCAGGCTCCATCCCCAGAGTGCTTCAGCCTTGTGCTGGTGAATGATTTGCTCACAGGCCCAAGCACAAAGCCAAGGGCAGCACCAAACCATGCACAAACATGGGACAGCCCAGGACAGCCCAACTCCCCTGATGGTCTGGAAACAGACCCCCTTCAAAGCATGAAGCACACGGACCTGCTGCGTGGTGAGATCCCACTGGGAGTTGAAGAAGTCGTCCTTGTCCTGGGTGAAGACAGGGACGTCGTACTCCTGCACGATGGGGGGGTCTGGGCGCTGCTCAATCACCTTCAGGTGGATGGTGTTCGACTCATCTGCCACGACAGGGAACGCTCAGTCTCCGTGCACAACTCAGTGCACAACTCAGTGCTCCCTCAGCAGCTCGCAGCCATCAATCCCAGGACACCACAGTGGCACCCAGAACAAGGTGTGTGCAGCCATAACCCCATCCCACCCGTCCCTTGGAGCCAGGTAGGGCAAGGCTGGCTCAGACAGCCCCAGCTCCAAGCACAGGCAGGCAGGGAGCTGCAGGAAGCAGCACAGGCAGAGCCAGCCTGGGCAGGGAATGGCCCAGCTGTCTCCCAGCATGGCCCTGTCCTCGCCATACCTATGGGCAGGGTGCACTTCCCTTTGGCATTCAGCTCCTCCAGCAGGATGGTCATGATGGGAACCAGCTTCTGCTTACTCTCCTCGTTGGAGATGAATCCACTTTCCAGCTGAAGAGAGCAGAAAGTCAAGCCAGCTCTTCCCCACAGGATCACTGGCTCTGGGAGCCCAGATCCTGCTCTCCTTCAGAGCAGAAGCGATCTGTAGGAAACCAGCACCACCCGCTCCTCACTGTTAAACCAGCCCGTCCCAGCAATGCCCAGTGAGGTGCCCACGCTGTGTGGGATGGGGAGGCAGGCTGACCGTGCCCAGGCTCACCTCGAGCGTGGTCAGGTACCCAGCCAGCTTCTTCACGATGGGCTCCAGCGCGCAGGCCTTGGCCCTGGCGTCGCACACAAAGCCCAGGTTGAAGAGCAGAGCGTTCCGGCTGTACTTCTTGTGCTCGATGCACACGGGGCAGCCGATCAGCTTCTTCTCCATGGCCGTCCTGTGGGGACACCTGTGACCTGCACCTACGCCCGCAGCGAGCCTCGAGTCCCCCACAGGGATGGCTCCCAGCCGGCTCTGCAGGCAGGGGCTTCTTTATATTGCAGGAAAAATGACGCCTAAGCCCTGCACGCTCAGAGTGCAAATCACAGTCTGAAGGGGTGGGGGGAGGAAAGGGTCAGCCCTCAGAGAAGGAAACAGCCTCCTCTGGGAAGCAGCACAGCCCTCCTGACTGCCCTGACCGCCCTGGATTTCAGGCTGGCGGAGCAGCGGACGCAGCACCACCCCCCCAGCTGTGCACCCAGGCTCTGCAGGGCTACCGGGCCGGGCCCTGCCCGCACTCACACGGTGATCAGCTTGTTCTGCAGCTCGGGCTTCGTGATGACGTACACCTGGATGGTGTCAAACAGCTCCCGGGAGATGAAGTCCTCGGGCACCTGCGGCGGCACAGGAGGCTCCGTTCCAGCCGAGCCCCGCCCCGCCCCGGGGAGCGCCCGCCGCCCCTGCCCTGCGCCCCCTTCACGGCCCAGCCCCAGGCCGCTCGCCCCGCACCTGGTAGGTGATTTTGGGCCCCAGCGTGGGGTGGAACTCGCTGAAGAACACGCACTCGATGCGGCCACCCATGGCGGAGCGGCCCGGCCCCGGCCCAGCCCCGGCGGCCACCGTAGCGCCGCTCCCGTGGAATCACTCGGCGGGGCGGGCCCTCACGCTGAGCGACAGCACTTCCCGCCACTCAGCGGCGGCGCAGCGCGGTGGGGCGGGACTTAGCGCTGACGGACAGCCCGCCTCAGCCAATCGGAACCCGCGCCGCGGCCCGGCCATGTCGGCAGCGGCGGCTCCGCCCGCCCGGCCAACATGGCCCTGACGGCCGAGACCGAGTCCCGCCTGTACCGCTCGCTGCGCGTGGTCTCGGGCTCCGCCGCGCACCTCGTGGCGCTGGGATTCCCCGCCGCCGTGGCCGTGCTGGCGCGGCCCGGATCCAGTGAGTGCCGGCGGGGCCGGGGCGGGCCGGATGTCTCGGCTCAGCTCAGCTCAGCTCACCCTGCGCTTCCCTTGCAGGTCTGTTCTCCTGGCACCCGCTGCTCATGGCCCTCGCGGTAAGTGACGCTGCCGCGGCTGGCGGAGCCCCTGGGTGGTGGGTGCCGAGCCCCGGGAGCCCCCGGCTGACGGGAGGCTGAGCCCCGGGCGGTGGGTGCCCGGCCCCGGGCGGTGGGTGCCCGGCCCCGGGAGCCCCGGCGCAGGGCCGTTTGGCCGGTGCCAATGCCGCTGCCCTCTGCCCCCCAGTTCTCGTTCCTGATGACGGAAGCGCTGCTGATCTTCTCCCCGGAGACCTCGCTGCTGCGCTCCTTCTCCCGCAAGGTCCGGGTGCGGGTGCACTGGGCCCTGCAGCTGCTCGCCCTGCTCTGCGCGCTCCTGGGGCTGGGAATCATTACCTACAACAAGCACCTGAACGGCAAGGGCCACTTTGTCACCTGGCACGGGCTGACGGGGCTGCTGGCCGTGCTGTACACCGGCGGGCAGTGCGCCGGGGGCGCGCTCCTGCTCTACCCCAAGCTGATGAAGAACTGGACGCTGGCCAAGCTGAAGCTGTACCACGCAACCTCAGGGCTGGTGGGCTACCTGCTGGGCTGTGCCAGCCTCATGTTGGGCATGTGCTCCCTCTGGTTCACCACCACGGTGACCGGTGCCTCGTGGTACCTCGCCATGCTGTGTCCCCTCGTCACCAGCCTGGTTATCATGAACCAGGTGAGCAATGCCTACCTGTACCGCAAGCGCAGCCAGCACTGAGGGCTTGCTGCTGACCTGAACTTCCCACAGCGAGCTGGGTCTCCCCTTGGAGAGAGCTGGCAGCCCCCCTGCTCGCACAGGGTCTCCTTGGAACTTGGTTTCTACCTACTCGTCTTTCCTTAGTCCTGGATTGTCCGTAGTGTCTTGTCCCTGGGGAGCAGCCGCTCCAGATGCGTGTGACACCTCACCCCTGCCTCAGTGGGGATGCTCCCTGGCACAGGTAAAGCTGCCAGTCCCTGTGGCAGCTTGGTGCTCAGTGCTGGGAAGTGGAGGGCTCGCTCAGGATTCCTGCTCCTTTTCCCTTCCCACGCAGGGCTGCTTTGGAGCAGGCAGGCCAGGGGCCATCCTGGTGAGGAGGGCAGGGAGTCCCTTCTCTCCCGGGAGGCTGCAGCAGGCACCACGCTGCCTCTCCTGCCGCGGGGGCAGCGTGACAGGAAAGCACAGGGCACGGTTGTGGCTTCAGCCCTGGCAGGGCTGGGGCAGGGGGGTGGCACCCGAGCAACGGTACAGCAGCACGTGTGTCCCCATGGCACGGGCAGCCCCTGGGATCAGGGCAGCTCTGCCCCACGGCCCTGGGTCTGGACACCCAGTGCCACGCACAAACCCCTCCTCCGTGGGCTGGGCTCGGCCTGCAGGGGTGGGGTCAGTTTACAGAGCAGATTACTGAGCCGGGCTGGGAGTATGCAGCCAGCAAGTCATAGGGAACAGTGTGAGCACGGGGGGAGGCACAGACCTGGGCAATGAACCCTTGGGGAGGCAGGAAGAAACCTCCTTGCTGGCACAACAGCCTTCCTTCCAGCACGCATCCTGCTCCCGGCAGGGCTGGAGAGCTGGGAGCGGCTCCCAGGCTGAACAATTCCTCTGTATCCAGAGCTTTTATTCAATAAAAATTTCAGGCAGCTAGAGCGCCACAAGCCCTCTTTACTTCTTGGGTGGGATGACTTCTGGGGTCAGGCAGACATGTCTCCCTGCTGGAGCACCTGGGAAGAAAGGCCCTCCCCAGGGGCTGCTCGGGTCCCCCACCCTGCCCGTGCTCTGCCGCAGGAGCCAGCGCTTTCAAAGAACTCTTTATTGATACCCAAACGTCTGTGTTCTTCCCATGTGACAAAACCTTCTCGTGTGGTCCTTTAAAAAAATAATGACACTGCTGATCCGCATCTCGGGCTGGGAACTGCCCACTGGATCAGGGCTGTGGAGGCTGTCGCAGGGAGCATCCTCTCCATCCAGGAAAATAACTCCATCAACAAAGAGGGAGGGAAAAGAAGGGGGGAGCCCATATCCTACCTGCAGGAAAGAAAACCTGCTGCCAGAGGAAGCAGCTACAGTCCCACTGTAAAATTAATTCCAGCTCCTAGTGTAATCTGGCAAACGGATTAGCCAGGGAGCAGCCAAGGGCAGCAGCTCCTGGCAGGGGGAGGGGGCAGGAGAGGGAGGAGAGAATCCCCACCGTGCAAAGCCTGGAGCTGGCAGTGCTGGAGCACCACCACGAGGGGCTGGGTGGCCTCTTCCTGCCCAGTGTCCTGTCCTCTCCTACCCAACAAACTTCTCACCGGCCCTGGCAAGCTCCTGCTGGGGCGGGGGGAGGCTCCCACGGGAAAGACACTTAGAAGAGAAACCCACCAGCCTTCTCACTGCCTCAATTAAGGAGGGCAAAACTCAAAACTACCTTCAGAAAGGAGAAAATAAGTGTTGAGTGCTCTGGCCAAGCCCTGGCACAGAGGAGAAGCTGACTTCGATCCCACGAGGGCCAGCACAGCGCCTTGGGGCAGGGATCAGCCCCGCGTCCCTCTCCCAGAACAGGCCCCGCTCCTGCACCGACTCCACGGCCTGCCCCGGCTGAGGGAGTGGCTCCAGGAATCCCTGTCCTCACGGTGGTGGCAGTGTCACTGTCCCGGGTGCCTGGTGCTGGCCGCGAGCAGCAGCGAAGCGTTGGAATGAGGTATCCCCCTGCCTGTGCCGGGAGCAGTCCCGCCCCCGGGGGACGCGAGGGGGATTAGCAGCTCTCCAACGGAGACAGGGCGGGAAGGGGAACGCTCACAGCTGGGCCGGGGCGTCCTGGAAGCTGATGAGGTTGGACTCCTGGCCGGGGCTCTTCCCGGCCGTGCCGGGCTCGGGCAGCAGTGGGCTGTCAGCCTTCGCCGCCGCCGCCGCCTCCTCCTCATCATCCTCCATGCTGGGCCAGGCTGACTGGTCCTCCACTCGCTTGAGCCGCTCGTTCAAAGCCTTCAGGGCCAGCTGCCTGCAGGACAAGGGCACGCGGGCAGGTCAGCCCCATGGGGCACTGTGCAAGTCAGCCCCTGGCTCCTTCCCGGCAGGAAAGGGTGGGTTCAGTAGTGCTGGGGAAGACCTGGAGTGCCTGGGACTGCTCCACAGAAACCCACTCCGGCTCCCAGACTACTCACACGGAGTTTTCATGCTACGTGGAGGCTGTCAGCACCAGGGCAGCTCCGGGAATGGGGAATCAAGGCATAAAGCAGGGCAGGGAAAAGGGAGTGCCAGCACCCTGTCCAAACCCTCCTGCCAGCAGTCAGGAAGGCCAGTGCTGGCTGTGCTGGAGGGCTGGGCTGTGGGGCTGACTCACTGCCCTCCCCTGGGCCAGGGTGAACTGGTGGAAGGCTGCCACGAGTAGGGACTGTCACTGTCCTAGGCTGTCCCTTTCTTCTGCGAGGACCCCAACCTTGTCTGCCCCTTTCCCAGGGTATCCCCTGCCTTTCCATTGCTGCTCCACATCTGGAAGAGCAGAATAATGTCCCACCACCTCCATGGCAGACCACATCGAGAGGGCCCCTCCTGCACCTCAATCTCCCCCCTCCTCCTTGGCTGGATTTTAAACTGTACCCTCGCTGTCCCTAAACACGATCCCGTGGGCAGGGCAGGGCAGGGGTACCTTCTCCTCTCGGCGTCCTGGGGGTCTGTCCCGGGCAGGCTGATGGTGATGGAGGACGGGGCACCCACGTCGTAGCGCTTGACGGTCTTGCGGCACAACCGCACCTTCACCAGCACGCTGTGCACCAGGTTGGCCACCAGCCCCACCACGGGCTGCAGGATCTCGGGGAAGAAAGTGGCGAAGGCGAAGTGGTCGCTCATGTCTCCGCGGCCTCTACTGTGCCGCTGGTAGAAGCGCAGATAGACCCAGCCGGAGAGGAGCCCGAAGCCGTACGAGGCCAGCACATTGCTCTCGACGAGGGCAGCGAGCCGCAGCAGAGCCAGGAGCAGGAGCAGGAGCATGGGCACAGCCTTCATTCTGACCTGAGGCACCTTCAGTACGGTGCTGTCCCCCATCGTCTGCTTGAGGGCCACCAAGACGCCCCCGAGGAAGCCCAGGCCGCCGTGGATGCGGACGGCGAACAGATAGTGGAGGTGGAAGGAGGCCACGTAGGTGAGGAAGTAGGCGAGGGCCGCCAGGAGCCCCACGGAGATGTTCACCACGGCGAAGAAGACGAGGAGCTCCAGCGCGCCCCAGAGCGGCTCCAGCAGCCGCCCGGCCGTGCCCAGCGTGGCCAGGCTGGCCGCCAGCCCCCAGGCGCGCTGCTCCACCAGCCCGTGCGTCAGCAGCGTCCACACCCAGAAGTTGGGGGGCAGCAGGTAGCCGGGCGTCACGCCCAGCCCGTAGGCCGTGTCCAGCCCGAAGGAGAGCAGGTACAGCAGCACGGCGGCGGCGCTCAGCGACTTCACCACCACGCTGGTGCCGGCCAGCGCCGCCAGGAAGTGCTGCCGGGCCACCGGCAGGTACCGCCGCATCTTCGGCCCCGCGGGCGGGACGGGGCGGCCCCGCGGGGGCTCGGGCCAGGCCGCGCTCGGACCCTCCGCTGGGCCAGGCCGGGCGCGGACAAACAGCGCCGCTGCGCATGCGCCGAACGGGGGCGACGGGGCGGGGCTGCCGCGAGGGCGGGGCCAGGGCACCGCGGGGCACGTCGGGACTTGTAGTCCGGCCACGTTGGCAGCGCGGGGCGGCACCGGACACGCGGCCGGGGGACACGGGGGGACACGGAGGGGAGACAGGGACATGGGAGGACACCGAAACGGGAGGACATGGGACAAACGAGCGACACGGACGTGGGGAAGGGGGTGGAGACACCGACACAGTAGGGACACGGCGGGACGTGGGGGAGGGAGGTGGCAGGACACGGTCATGGGGGGAAAAATCCCGGGAGATGGGGATACGGACACGGAGCGCACTAGGGGACACTGACCCCCTGCAACAGGGGGATCCGGGCATGGAGTGGGGCGTGGGCAGGGTGACACAGCCCTGGGGGACACGGGGCCCCAGCCCCTGCTGTGAGCCCGGGGCGCCGCGGGGTCCCTGTCCCGTGTCCCTGTCCCGTGTCCCTGTCCCGTGTCCCTGCCCCCGAGTGCAGCCGCTCAGGGCAGTGTCCCACCTGCAGGAGCCCCCCGATATCTGTGCCCCCCCGTGCTGTGCCCCCCCAGCCGTGCCCACGGCCCCGGGCAATGACAGCCACCGCCTGTGAAGTGAAAATATGAACATTATTTAATAACTGAGTCTCTGTAATAAACCATTTGAAAATATTTTACAAGGAGTCACACGCACGATATCTTACAAATTGTCTTTTTGTCGTTGTTTTTTTTTTTTTTTTAGTTTTCCAACCCTTCTGTAAAAAAAAAAAAAAAAGAAAAAAAAAAGAAACCCAAAGAAATTAAAAATAAATTAAAGAAAATCAATTAAAAACCTTTGAATGAGCAGAGAGAAGCTTTAGGGTGGGGACAGGGCAGGAGGTGACCCCGGCGGGACGGGGGGCCCGGGGCCACGCCGCCCGTTCGTCTCATTGGTTTTTAACTTAAAATAGACTATATATGTATATATTTATAGGTATGTATAGTGGTGGTTTTCTGGCAGAGCACCTAACTAGACTACAGAAGTACACACACTCCCGGTAACACAGAGCCATCTGTTCAAACACGGTTCCCAGAGACAGTAACCAAACACACACTGAGAAAGCTACAAGCAGAATGACCATTAATTAACCCCAGCACTAATTAGCGCCTGGCGCCCTCCCCAGCCCCCCGGGGCGGCCGTGCCGAGGGGGCGGCTCTGAGCGGGGTGCCCGGGGGGGTGAGGGTCCCCAGGGCTGCCCGGGGCCCCCCGGCACTGCCGGGAGCAGCGGGGGTGGCACTGGGTGTCGCGGCTGTCACCGCTCCGGGCCGCGTGTGCGGGGTGCAGCGGGCTCGGCCTGGCCGGGGGACAGCACCCGGCACGCTGCGGGGCCAGCCCTGTCCCCACGGCCCTGTGGGGACATGTGGCACTCGGCACGCGCCGGGGCTGTGCCCTGACCCCGCGACACGGGGACACGGGGACACGGGCCATGTGCCCGGGGACAGGCAGCGCGGGCGCTTTGGCAGGGCGGGGCTGAGCGGGCGGGATTCACAGTGATCTGCAGAACGGAAAAGAAACAAAACACATTTCCCCCCTCCTTTTCACCCCGGTGTCTGTGCCCAAGGACGGCTGAGCCCGGCGAGCGGCCGGGGCACGGAGATGTGCCCGGCGCAGGCAAAGGCCACTGTCCCCGAGCTGTCCCCGCCCGCCCGCAGCCCCAGCCCGCAGGGACGAGCCCAGGGATGCTGCAGCTGCCCCTCACGCCCTGGGGACCGCCAGAACAAACGATACTGACCCGCACAGTCAAGTCCTTTCTTTCTTTTCTTTTCTTTTTTTTTTTTTCCTTCCCCCTCCCCCATTTTTTTTCTTTTTTTTTTTTTTTTCCTTTTTTCTTTTTTTTTTGTTTGTTTGTTTTCCCATGTGTCCTCGTTGCTGACAATAAACCCCGCCGGTCTCCAGGTGAAAATGTTGGAAACTCGATGTAGAAAGATCTGCTTTAAAATCTTCAGGCTAGTGCCCGGTGCCCGCTGTGCCGGAGCCCCGCCGCTCCCCGGCTCCTCTTTGGCTGCGGCCGGCGGGGAGAGCGGGGCGGCACCGGGGGTCCCGGGGCGGCGGAGGGCACGGCGCTCCCGCTCCACCGGGCCGGGCACGGACGGGGAGATGGAAGTTGAAAGAAAAGAGAGCTGGCGGGGGCGGCCGGGGGGCTAAAGGCAGGCGGCCGGGGGCAGTGGGTGCCGGCTGGTGCTGGAGTAGAGGAGCAGCAGCTGCAGCGGGAGCAGGACCCCCAGGGATGGGGAGAAGGAAGCCCCTCGGCCGCAGTCTGAGGTATCTTCCTGCGGGGGTGAAGAGAGAGGGACCGTGGGGCACCCCAGGGTGCATCTGCCACCTCCCTGCAGGCCGAGAGCCCCCTGCCCCGCTGCACAGCCCCGGCACCGCCCCTGGGGATGCTCTGCCCCGCAGTGCCCGGTTCTGTGCTTTCCCTCAGGAGGGCACTCCATGGCACTGCTCTCCTAGGGACCCTCAGAGCTGTGACCTCCCCAGGGCTCCTGAGCCCTCCTCCCTGCCCTCCCAGGGCTCCACACCCCCATCAGAGGGGTCCCCCCACCCCTCATGGCTCTGTTCCTCCCGGGGGAACACTCCCCTTTCCATTTCCCCCTCAGGGCTGAACCCCTCAGCTCTGCTCCCCTGGGATCCCCCCACGGCTCCATTCCCCGCTCAGGGGGAACCCAAACTTCCCCCAGGGGACCCCCCATGGCTCTGCCCCCCCCCGGAGGATACCCACTGCCCGCCCCTCCCCAGGGCCAGCCCCACGTACTGTTGCATTGTAGTCGAAGCAGATGTGGGGGCCTTTCCGGTAGCGGGGCCTGTCCACCAGCTCACACTGGTTGGGGTCCCTCGGGGGGGCTTGGCAGGTCAAGGAAAACACCAGGAACAGGGCAGTGGGGGCTTGCAGGGCACCCCCAGCCCCTTTGGACATGAGCCACCTCCCTCCACCCCTGCCAAACTCCACAGCTCCACGGGTCCTTGCCCCGCTGCCTGTCCCACAGACCCCACACGTCCCCCCACCTCGCTGCCACCACATTGCAGTGGGATGCAGCTGAGACATCAAAGGATACCTCTTACCTCTGCCTGCAGCAGCTTGACAGACTCACACTGGCTGCAGAGGGGTTTGTCAGCTACCACGAAGAGCAGGTTGGTGTTGGCCAGTCTCTGTGCATGGAAGAGCCTGGGGGTGCAAAGGCAGTGGGACCCCCCCTTACCCTCTGCCCCAATCCCCCCCAGCTGCCAGCCCTGCTGACCCGGCAGCATCTCCCCAGACCCAGTTTCATCACTGTCCCTGTCCTTCTCCCCATCCCTGTCCCCAGCTTCATCCCTATCCCTAACCTCACGCCTGTCTGCCCCCCCTTACCCTCTGCCCCAATCCCCCCCAGCTGCCAGTGCCAGCCCTGCTGACCTGGCAGCATCTCCCCAGACCCAGTTTCATCACTGTCCCTGTCCTTCTCCCCATCCCTGTCCCCAGCTTCATCCCTATCCCTAACCTCACGCCTGTCTGCATTCCCAATCTTGTCTCCAGCCTTGTCCCCGTCCCCATTCCCTGCCCTGGCCTCCATTCCCATCCTCATCTCCACCTCCCTGCCCATCCCCATGCTGAGGGGGCTCAGCACTGATGGCCTTCAGGGCTTGGTTCCACACAGAGGATCCCTGGGGACTCCATCCCCCACAGCCCATGGGGACACCACTGTTCCTCTCTGTCCTCCCCTCCGGGTATCACAGTCCCCCCAAATGCTGCACAGCCCCCACACAGGCTGCTGCTCAGGCACCTTGGCACACCCTGGGGTGTCCCCAGCCCTGTGCAGGGGGGACAGTGGGGATGGACCCACCTGGAGCAGTTGCCGCAGTCAATGATGGCGTTGTAGGTGGCATTGACGGTGCTGAAGTAGTACTGGGTCTGCTTCATGATGCAGCTCGTCTCCCTGGCCTCCATGCCGTCCCCCACCACCTCCTCTGTGCCAGCACAGCGCTGTGGGACAAAGGCCACCAGCCCCCCCAGCCCTGCCCACCCCCAGCTCAAAGCTCCCCAGGACTGACCCGTCTGGAACCAGCTGCTGTAGGTGAGGCTGTACAGGAACTGCTGGAACAGGGACCTGGGGAAGCAAAGCGTGGCCACTCAGGTGTCCCAGCCCCAAGGACACCCCAGTGTCACTCCCCAGCAGGAATGGCCCCAGGGAGGGGACACGGCAGGACTCACCAGGCTGCAGCCGAGGTCCACCAGGCGAGGCTCAGGAGATCGGCCACGGTGGGCTGTGGGCAAAGAGGGGGCAGTGAGCCAGCAGGTGCCCATGAGGGGCACTGGGGACACGCTCATGGGTCCCTGAGCTCCCAGACCAGCTGGAATGCCCCATCCCGTGGGTGCTCACCACGAAGACGCCGCGGGGCGCCGCGCCCGTGTTGCTGGGGGCCTCGGGGGCACAGACGGACTGGAAGTCATAGGACTCCTTGCGGGCGTAGAAGGAGTTGTTGTAGAGGGCAGACATCAGGTTGGCATCCACTTCGCTGAAGAACTTGCCCACCTGAAATGGGGACACCGAATCTGCACCCAAATGCTGCCGTGGCATGGACTCCCCTGGAGGGGACTCGAGTGGGCTGTGTCACAAGGGTTCAGCTGGCATCCATGCCCAGGAGAGCTGCGGGCACCCTCACCTGGTACCAGTGGTCCTCCTGGTTGGAGAGCACCAGGAAGCCCCCATCATCGATGAGGACACAGATGAGGTCCTGGGGAAGGAGGGCAGTGTCATCCAAGCCTGGCCAGCACAGTGTCCCCAAGCCTCAGAGCATCTCAGTGCCAGGAGCACCCATGCTGGGTGAGGGAGCAGGAGACACCACCCACCCTGGGGGTTTAACAGCCCTCTCAGGGAGTCTACAGTCCATGGGACAGCCCTCAGGCCTTCATCCCTGAGAGGTGGGCTGGGTCTGGCTGAGCTTGGGGAGCAGCAGGGCACAGGGTGGGTGCAGAGGCTGGGTAAGCAGGGGACAGGGACCTCTCCCAGCCAGTCCATACACCTCCCACCAGCTGCCCCCACCCCTGCCCACCACCCACCTTGTTGTTGGCCTCACAGTCCATCTCACAGCTGCTTGAGGGGTCACACTGTCAACCAAAAGCAGGGCAGAGGGACAGGTTAGCAGGATGGTCATCCCCCCAGAGCTGTCCTGCCAGCCAGAAGGGGACATGCAGGGTGGTGTCCCCAGAGGCTGGAGACAGGAACCCCGAGGAACAAGCCATTACAACCACAGGCAGCATGTCCCAGCAGTGCCCCCAGCAAGCAGAGCTCCCTCCCTGCCCTGTCTCACCCCTGTTCCCTGGCTGTGCCAGCCCAGGACGTACCCGGCGGGTGCCCAGCTGGTCTCGGTCTGTCCGGTTGCTTGCCAGCACTTTGAACTTCTCAGCCCAGGCCTCCAGGTCCAGCTTCACCCCCACCACTGGGGCAGTGGGGAGACAGGGTGAGCTGTAGCCTGGAGGGGTTGCAGGGACCCCCAGCCTGGCACCAGGGCGCCCAGCTCCCTGCCTACCTGCGGGCTTCAGAGTCTTGCCCCCGATGCTGAGCTCCACGGCGGTGCTCACCAGGATCCCAATGGTGTTGTTCTCCAGGTCCAGCCCCCGATAGCCAGCTGTGGAAGGCAGGGGTGACATCAGGGGACACACGGAGCCAGCAGCAGCCTGGGTCACACCCTGTCACCCTGAGCTGGCACCCACCATCTCGGTAGGGTGGCTTGAAGATGTAGCCCTTGTTGTCCAGGCTCCTCCGGTAGAAGCTGGCGTTGAAGGGCTCCGGTTCCTCCTCCCAGTCATCTGCGGCCCTGGCAGGGAGAAGCCACAGCCATGGCTGTCACTGTCATCCCTGGTCCCACCAGAGATGGCCCAGCAGGAGCAGACACGTCACTGTGCAGGGCAGACACTCACTTGTTAGGGAAGACACGGGTGATGCCCCCGTCGGTGGCTGCGAAGACAGCCAAGAGGCTGTACCTGCAAGGAGAGGGGCCAGGTACACCAGCCATCAGTGGGGTGCTGCTCTGCCCCTGCCCCCACAGCCCATCCCAATCCTCATCTGTCCCAAGACAGCGCTGCCCACCCCGGGCCATCTCCCTGCACTTACGTGTTGAGGTCCTGGTCCTTCCAGACTTGCTCCACCAGCTGCTGTGTGATACCCGTGTCCAGGATTAGGTTGTGCAGGAGGAAGTTGTCGCCTTGGAGAGGAGGAGGAGGTGAGAGCTGACCCCATGAGGGCCACCCATGTGCCCAGCTCTGTCCCAGCACCCACTGTGCAGCAGCTCCCAGGATCCCAACCCCAGAACAGTTTATCCCCTGCTCCCTCTCCCCTTGAATCCCCGTCCACCCCCGACCCCCCCCAGCAGCCCCCCCAGCAGCCATCCCAGCTACTCACACTGCTTGGAGTCTGGGGTCACCTTTTCCATGAGGGCAATAAAGTTTTCCAGGAATTCGGTGTTGTTATCCGACAAGTCGAGGTCTTTGCAATACTCTCTGGGGTTTGGGGGACAAGGTTTGTCGTTCGTGGGGATGGAAAAGGTAAGGTCAGTTCTCCCCCGGGGACAGCGGGGTGGGTGCTGGCTGTGCTGCCAGCACCCAGGCTTGACAGGACACAATGGTGGTGACGTGCCACCTCTCCTGGCAGTGTCACCCCGCCAGGGGAACTGGCTGTGGGCATCTCTGCAGACTGCCCAGTGCCCAGCCCCTGCTGCCTGCAGTGCCACCAGAGAAGCGTCACACCAGTCACCAGGTCTGTCACTGCCACAGGCACTGAGGTGCCACCCCCTCTGCCAGGGCAAGGTTTGAGGGATCCTGTTTTGCCCAGGATGGTACAACACCGAGTCCATCTCTCCCCATACTGCTGGGGCTACTGGTGGGACTGGGTGTCTCTGACACCGTACTTACCTGTGGGGCAATGCCCACCCTGCCCTGCCCCTGCAGCACCCAGGGATTGGGGCTCCGCTGTGGGTGCCAGCAGGGATTTTCCTCGGGATTCTCCACAGCTGCACTGGCAGCACCAGGCAGGCACTCGAGGCCCTTTGCACAGATGGTTGGGTGCTGGCTGAGCCCCAGCTGCAGAGATGGGTGCCTGCCCACGGGCATCACTGGCCCTGAGACACTCCTGGGACAGGCAGTATGGTGGGTGCCATGTCCCTGCTTCAGTCTGGAACACCCTGAGCGCAGAGTCCCAGCCCCAGCGAGGCCAGGGACAGCTGTAACCTGGGGGTCACCATGAGATTCTGGGTGGCACAGGTTAGTGCCACCCCCGTGTGCCAAGAGCCTCCTGTCCTCAGCAGGGTGGCTGTGAACAGTGCCAGGCTGCTCAGGGCTCCCCCACTCACAAGCTCCTGACTGCCAAAAACTCTGTCATTCAGAGGACAAGTGGAGCAAAGGGTGGCAGGGAGCATGCCCACAGGGCAGCTGAAAAAGGTGAGGCACCCTGCCCAGCTCGGCCCGGCCCCTCAACCCCTGTTCGGGGGGAACAGCCACCTGAGTATCTCCACCGACACGCACAGATACAGGTACTCACACACCCACGGGGGACGGGGGATATACGGTTTCTGAAAATTTCCAGAGGCCCGTGGGCGCGGCAGATCATACAGTCGCCCTGGGTGCCGGGCACGCCCCGGCACACGGCCCCTGCCTGCCCTGCCCAGGCCGGGCACCTCAGCGCAGCACGGAGCCGCTCTGGGCATACCACGGGCTCGTCCCGACTGCCACCCCCGCTGTTCTCTCCGTCTGCAGAGCCCACGCAGGACACCGAGCCCGGCACTGCAGCCTCAGCGGGTGCAGCCCTGCTCCTGGGGCTCGGGCATCCCCTCCCTGTCCGTGCTCTCGGTGTGCTTACGGGCAGTTTTCAGTAACAGCTTTCCTGTTTCCCATTCACGCTCTGCCTTGGCTCCCGTGTGTCCTGGACTTCACCCCCACTGCCCAGCAGAGGGCCTGGGGACTCAGCTCCCCGAAAGCCAGCGCTGCACAGTGACTGCACATTGCGGGCTGGCTCACCCAGAGCTGCTGCGAGTGACTGCTGCTGGGGCGGTACCCGCAGGTGGCCGTGCTGGACCTCAACCCACGGCAATCCCCAAAAGCTGCGCTGGCAAAACGTCCCCTAACAGGACGTTCAGCTGCTATAACGACCTATGAGCAGATAGGTGATTAGCTGGTGATGTTAATTGGGGCTGGTCGGAGATTGCACTGTAGCGGCGGGATGCTGGCAGAGCCATGGGGCTCCCCGAACAACCCACTGGAGGATGGCCCTACATCCCTGCTAGGTGACAAGAGCGGGCGGCATGGCCCAGGGGAGGGGGCATACCTGTCCTTCAAGGGGCTGCTGCGCTCTCCTCAAGCCCCCAAACCCCCTGGGCATCCCAAATTAGTGCCGAAACCTCTCCCTCCTTCTCCCTCCCCCCGCAGCCAGCACGACTGTATGATGCCGCCGGCGGCCCCTCGCTCGGCAGGATTTTCAGAAACTATACCTATATATGCACCCGCAGAGGCCGGGCTGCACCGGGTGCATATATACTGTGAGAGACGGCGCTGGATGCAACCGGGTGGCGCGGCGGGGCCGGGGCAGCCCCGCGGCCGGGCGGGCACACGACACACACAGCCACAGGGCACGGGGAGCGGGGACAAGGCACGATGAGGCGGGAGGGGCGATGGGGGGTCGGCAGCGGGGCCGGGGCGGATGCACACCTCGGCAAGCGCACACGCAAAGCTACCTGGGAGCAATGAACACATGTCCCTCCGACTCAAAGTTGTTGGGCAGCAGGTATTCAAAATCTGCAACAGAAAGGGAAGGTTATCCGGCGGGGAGCGGGGACGGGGGCGCCGGGGGCCAGGAGGGAGAGAGACGGACAGAGAGAGAGAGAGAGAGGGGGGAGGGAACAAAAAGAGAAATAAAAAAAGAAAAAGGCATTTGCTGCTCTTGGTAACAAGAGAGGAAGGAAAAGGCCGTTCTGCTGTCGCTGGCACCGCACGGGAAGGAAGGTTAGAGCCAAATCAGGAGAGGTTTGCCCATCTCGGCTCGAATTTGCTCGGCGGCGGGCTGGAGGCGCGCGGTGCGGACGCGCGGCCGCACGCAGGGACACACAGACACACACACATATATATATGTGCGCACATGTATATATATATATATGCATGTTCGGGAGGGCGGGGGGACGTCTCTCTCTCGGGGGAGGGGTGCTGGGCGAAGGCAGGGAACCACATGCTTCGCTCCTGGCCGGAGGAGGATCACCAGAACACTCGGTTGTCGGGAGAAAAAAAAGAAAGGGAGTTTTCAGGCATCGACATGGCCAGAGGGGAACCTTGCCGAGGACAGTCCAACCAGAGGCTCCCGCGCTGCTGCGGGGCCGTGCAATGCGCTGCCGGGCTCCGCTGCCGGGCCCCGGTGCCCTCCCTCCCCGGGGCCGTGGTGCCCAGTGCGGACCGGGATCGCCAGCTCTGCTTTAACCGGGGTGCGGCCCAGCAGCTCTGGGGTGTCTCTGGGATTGCCCTCGGCAGAAGAGACAGAGGATGCAGGGCTCAGCCCGCGGGGGCGAGCCGGGTTCGGGGGTGCACGGAGGGGTGCTACGGGACACCCCTGGGACAACATCTCCCCCACGACGGGCACCGCCACCCCCTTGCCCTCCCGCCAGCTCCTGGTGCATTGCACGGCACAGCCAGAGGTTGGACTGTTGCTCTCTGAGGGCTGGAGGCAGGGGCTGGGTACAAGCCGATGAGAGGAAGAAGAGGAGGAGGAGGAGGAGTACAAACACTCGTACTTGGTCCATCAGCATTGCCATCACAGGGGCGCTGGGAGGAGGCAACTCAAGGCTGATTGAACAGGGCTGAGGGTGACACTTCCACCTCCCCACTGTCCTGCCCGCCTGGCCCTGTCCCCTCCTGTGCTGCAGTGCCCCCCCAAGCCGTTTCCCTGCCTGTGCCAGGGAGGGGTGCTGCCGGGCAGGCTGCTGGTGGGTGCCGTGTGCTGGGGGCTGTGTGGGATGGAGAGTGGTGGCAGGTCCCATGGGCACCGTGTGTCCCCATGCCCACTGTGGGGCTGTGCGGGAGCTGTGGGTCAGGAGGCCCCTCTGGCATTGAGGGAATGTGGGCCAAATCCTGTGTCACATGGGTGATGTCCTGCTCCACTGCAGGGGGAGACCGACTCTGGCACCTCGGCTTGCCTTGGTGGGACGTTGGGCTCAAACTTGGCTGCTCCCAGGGGCACAGACAGCACCAGGACACTGTACCTTCAGTGGTACAGTACTCTGTACCATGCCATGCTGGTCCCCAGGGCAGGGGGGACGGCCACCGAGCAGCTGTGGGGGCAGGCAGTGTGGCCCCCCTGGGCTCAGCCATCCCTCGTGCCCCTGGGCCAGGCTTGCTGTCACCTGTGCAGCTGGGAGGCACTGCCCCAGGTGGTCCCATCCCAACTCTGCAGAGGGTTCCTGCTGGTAGGCTTTCCCCAAAAAGCCTGTCCCAGAGGCTGATGGCAGCGGTGGATTGGGCCCCCCACCTGTCCTCCATCCCTGCCACCTTTGGGCACCCACCCCACAGCCCCCGCTCCCTGCACAGCCCTATCCCTTTCAGGTTGAGTTGTCTTGGGGAGGAGGAAGCGAAGGAGCCAGGAGAGGGGGAGAAGGAGTTGGAGGAGACGAGCGGGAGAAGAGGAGCAAGAAGGGGCAGCACTGGGGAGGAAGAGCAGGGCATCCAACTAGCTACAAAATCCTGGTGGGTCGAAAACGGCAGTTTCATACAAGATCGGCTCTTGGACGATACCAAACCGGATTTGGGAGTGATGCGCGGGGAGGGAGTGGGATTTTCGTGACAAAGCTCTCATGAACAGAACAAGACATGTTGCTTTCAAATAAAGGGGGGACTGGAGGAGAGGAGGAGGAAGAGGAGAAGGAGAAGGGAGGAAGGGCGAGTTGGTGGCGGTTTGCAGGTTCGGCGTGGCAAACGGGCAGGGAGATGGGCAAGCAGGGGGCTGGGGGGGACTGGACACGGGGCAGGGGACGGGGTGGTGAAGGTGAGTGGTCTGAGACTGAAAATACTTGCCCTTCATTTTGATGTTTGGTACTGTGTGAATCCACCATAGAGAGAAAGCAAGAAAAACAACAAACAAAAAAACAACAAACAAAAAAAAAAAGGGGTTGGGTGGAAAGGGGGAAGGGGGGCACAAACAATATTTTATTCAATCGACGTTTGAATAAAAATATTGTGCACTATAATCATACCAAAAGGAAACCTCTTGCAAAAAACGACATGAAGAAAAGAAAACATAAGAAAAACCCAGTAACAAAAGGAAAAGAAAATGCCACGGTGAAATAAGAACAAAAAAAATGCAAAGATATAACTAGAGAAATATATAGATATATATTCAATACTCCAAAGGAAAATGAGAATCAGTAGCAAACAGTTGCAACAGTCTTGATATCAAAATGTCCTCACTGAGTCAGGGGGCATGCACGGCACGGTGGGCAGAGCTGGGGAGGACGGGGGGGATCCCCCCTCCCGGGGATGGGGACAGCCTGGCCTTGTCCCCACAGGGACACAGGGCTCCTGCCCATGGATGGAGGGGGTGGCAGGGGCTGGATCTGGAGTGGGGCTGGGGTCGGGCCACCAGGGCGGCCGAGGGGGAGAAACAGGGGGAACCAGAAGGGAGAGGGGAAGGGTCCAGTTCTCCCATGGGGGAGAGGGTCCCTGGGAGCAGCGTGGACCTGAGGTGGGGAAAAGGCTTGGGGGTCAGGGGAAAGAGAAAGAGAGAGAAAGGGGGGCCAGGCTAACACACACGTACACAGATTAATTCCAAACCAAAATCGAAACCAACCGAAACCAAACTCATAAAAAAGAATAAATGGCTTAAACTGAAAGCAAAGTACCGTAATAAACCAAAGGAAATTAAAGAGATCCATGCAAACTTCCCCAGCTCACACATGATGTGGCTGCCACAGCGCCATCCCTCGTCCCCGGGAGGGGAGCAGGCAGCACCTCCTGCCTGGGGCAGCGCCTGCCTGAGCCCCGGGCTTTGGGTGCAAAAGGACCAAACCCTGCCCCCGGGGCATCCCAGGCAGGCAGCTCGCTCTCCCTCTGTGTGCTCACCTCTACTCACGCCTCTCTTTAGTTTTTATTTTGCCTCTCACAGTGATCCCTATGACCTTTCCCAAGCCTGTGGTTTGTGTTTCTCCCCCCGACAGCCCCGGGCTGGCGTGGGGTGAGGGGGAGTGTGAGAGGGCAGCAGGGAGAGCCAGGGGCTACTTACACTTCACTTGCAGGATCTGGTCGCTGAGGTTGGCCTGGATGTAGTAGGTACTGTAGGGAGGCAGAACCAGTCCCAGGCTGTGGAGAGGGAGAGCAGACACCTGGAGTAAGGCTTTACACCCACCCAGAATCCTTGGCCAGCTCCCAATTCCTGCCTGGCACCTGCTGGCAGCAGCCCCACTGGCCTCCTGCACAGCCTGCTGCATCCTTCTCTCCAGGAACTGCAGCCAGTGCTGTCCTGAGGCATCCAGGGTCATCCCCAGAGCATCCAGGGTGATCCTGGGGTATCCAGAGTCATGCCCAGAGCACCCAGGGTCATCCCCAGAGCACCCAGGGTGATATCCCTGCTGCAGAGCAGTGGGTAGTGGCTGTGACCCCTGCCAGCCCCTCCTGAGCTAGGTGGTGGTGAGGAGGAGGAGGAGGAGAGCACACTGGGCAACAGGAGATCACATGGCTCCTCCCAGGATGAAGGCAGCTGGTCCAAACTGGTGCAAACTGGGTGATAAAATGCAAACTTTGCTCTCCTCTGGCTCTAAAGACACTGCCTGTGCTGCAGGGTGGGCACATGTCACTGTCACCCACCCTAGAGCAGGCAGGGACCTGCATGAGCCCCTGGCTGGGCAGACAGGGGGTGGCAGAGGTGTCACTTCTCTGGCCCCTTTCATGCCAGCCCTGCAGCCTGTCTGGAGTCCTGGGGTTGTGTCCAAGCTCTACAGTGCCTAACACTGGCAGGCAGCCCTTTCAGGAGTGCCCTCCAGCACATCACTGCCTGTGTGCAATAACGTGGCAGTGCATTGCAACCTCACAGCCCGTGGAACACATCCCTGCTGGCCTCGGGGACTTTGGGAGCTGCAGGCACAAGCCCCCAGGCCTGTGCTGGTGGGGGTCCAGCCAGTGCAGGGCAGTCTGGGTGCACTGGCTGTGACACTCACCTGTAGTTGGTGCTTTTGATGGGAGCCCACGTGTAGGTGCGGAACACCTCGTCGATGTATTGCTGTGGGCCAGAGGCAGCCAGTCAGGCCTGGGCACTGCCAGGGCTCTGCTGGCGCAGTGCCACAGGGCCCTGGCTCCCAGCCCGCTGCCAGACACAGCCCCTCATCCCCACTGCTGGTTCTGGGTGCTCAGCACAGTCACAGTTCCAGCCGTGACCCCTTCCCCTGCAGTTACCTCGTCCAGGGACTTGATGAGGGTCTTGATGAACCTCTGCCCATCATTCCCATCAATCATGCTCCTCCGGATCTGTGGGACACAGAGGAGGCAACTGAGTGCCACAGAGCCTGGCCATGCACCTGTGGGCACCCATGGGGTGCAGGGAGAGCAGCCTGGGGAGGTTTGTCGCACCAGGGGACAGTGACCCAGCTCCTGTCCCCACACTCCATGGGAGCTGTGCCAGGACTCTGAGGATGAAACTCTGCAGGGCAGGTGGGAGGGGCTGAGTGCCCTTTGCAACTGCAGATGAGGGGGCCAGCCTGTGCCCCAGAAGCTGCCCCTCTTCTGCTCACCTCCTCCTTGTTTTCATCCTCCAGCTCAGCATCCAGGAAGTCCAGCGTCACTGGCTCACGGAAATTGATGATCTGCAGGAAGAAAGGGAGAGCCAGGGAAGGGCTCAGAGCTCCTGCAGCCACTGCTGAGTCCAGACTAACTCATCACAAACCCCACAGCTAAGTCCCCAGGAGCCTGGAAAGCCCCCAGGGCCTGGCTGATCCCCAGGGCTGCTGCCCCTTTGGGCCCTGCTCACCTGGGGCCGCAGGTTGGGGTGCAGCAGCACGTAGCCGTTCAGGTCGATGGCGAAGACGTAGCCATTGGCCCCCAGCTGCAGGAGGACAGCAGGAGGGGTGAGACCAGGTGGCTCTGTGGCATGACACACTGTGCTGGTGTCACCACCCTCACCTCTGCAGGCAGAGCTTGCCCCACATCACCCCCAGGCTCCATCCATTCATTTCTATTCTCAGAACAGTGCCACTGCGGGGGTGAGAGTTTGGCTGTGGATTTTTCCCACTGCTCCTTTCCCCAGCCCTGTAAGGTTTATTCCCTGCTGACCCTACAAGGGTTTTGGCTCTGCACTGAGTCCCAGAGTATCATGCAGCTTTGATCCCTGCTCTCCTGCCTGTCCCAGTTTCTGCTGGGTGCCAGTGCTGCTGGAGGTGCTCTGGAGTGCTGGGGCACAGCTTGGGGCTCCCATCAGAGGGATTCCACACCAGGAGCAGGCAGTGCAGGGCAGGGACAGAGGGGAAGGAAGGGGCCCCCACGCACGTTGTAACGCGGCGTCAGCCTCTTGATGTCATTGAGAGCCACGTCGATCCCCATCACGCCCAGGATGAGCTGGTTCTGGAAGGAAATGCAGCATGGAGGTGGGTGGGACCAGGGCTGTCACCTGCCACCACCAGCCCGGGGACAGGGAAGCAGCAGGATGCACCACTTCTCCTTCTGGGGATGTGTGGGTCAGATTGGATACTGCAGGGGCACAGGGAGGGTGTACCAGCCCCCAGGAGCCCCCCAGGGACACTGCACCCCCCAGGGACTCACAGCTGTCAGCTGTCACAGATGAACTGTGAGAGCTAGCCAAGGTAAGTGTGGGTCCCAGGGATGGCAGCCACCCCAGTGTCACTGCAGGGAGGGGGTGCAGAGCAGGCGGCACCCCAGGGATGCCTGTGTCCCCCACTGCAGCCACACACACATCACCAGGGCACCTTCCCCACCTCACAGTGGCCCCACACCAGGGCTCCCAGCGCAGCCAGGGCAGGGGCAGCACAGTCTCCTACCTTCCTGTCACTGCTGTCCTCCGTCAGGTTGAACACTGGCAGAGTTCCTGTCACCACCAGGCCCAGCCCCTGCACAAGCACAGAATGGTGTCCCAGGGCCCCTCACTGCCCCAGGACCCAGGGCTGGGGCTGGGCAGCAGAGGGGGGTTATTCCCCTAATAAGGGAGATGGGCATGTCCTGTGCAGGACCTTGGAGCCAGTGTCCCCATCCACCTGGAGTTCTGTGGGACCCCAGGGTCAGTGTCCCCAGCTGCACCCTGGGGCTGGAGTCCCCACCCATGTGCCCCTCGGGGCTGTAGGGGACCCTTGGGCTGGGGGGTCCTTACCAGGGCATCCTGGTAGACATTGGTCCACTGGACCTGCTTGGCTCGGTTCCCAGCCAGGACCATGGGCCTGCCCAGCACATCCAGGTACTCCTGCAGGGACACAGGACACGGGAAAGGACGATGTGGGGGACAGATGTCTCCTTGCTCCAGCCCGGTGACACCCTTGTCCCTAAGCACACCCCAGGAATGTTAATGGGTGAGCTTGGGGAGGGAGCTTGGCAGCCACCAAACCTGGGCTGGGATTGCTCCATCATGCCTGGACCATGTCATTACTGTCACCCTGGCTGCCATCTTCTCCTGGGGCAGGTTCCCTTTTCCTGTCTCACCTTGCCAAGGAAGATCTCTGGGCAGGGAGGGAGCCCCTGTGCCACAATGCCAGCCCAGCCCTGCCCTCATCCCCTGCCCTCACGGCACCTCGTGCACATCCCATAAAGAAGAGGGGCAGAAAAGAGGCAGTGAGAGGAGGTGTGGGGCAGACACAACCAGCTCTGCCAGCCTTGGCCCTGCTCACGCTCGCTCCCCGCCCGCGCTCAGCTCTGCTCTGCGCTGATTAACGCCTGATGTTTCATAATTAGTCACTCAAAAGGCAGCAGGTCCGCGGGGAGCTGCCGAAGATGAATTACTTAATAGCGCAGGGCCTGGCTGAGGGCTCAGCTCGGCTCCCCAGCTTGCTGCCACACTCACTGCAGCCTGTGGGCTGTCCCCAGTGGGGCTGGGGCTGCCTGGACTCCCCCCAGGCAGGGCAGCCCACGAGGGCTCTGCCTGGCCCCCGGCTGTACCTGCGTGTTAATGCGGATGGCGCCGATGGAGGGGATTTCGAAGTAGTAACCTTGGAAAAGAAAGAGAAAGGCAGCTGAAGATGCAGCTGTCCAGCAGTCTGGCTGCCCTGCTGCCCCTCCCTGCAGGGCTGCAGCCAGGCCTGTGCTGGTAGAGGCACCCCTGGGGCCGAGGGGCGAGCCCAGCACCCTTTACCCCCGTGCCTGCTGGCTGCCAGCCCCTCACCTTTGTTGGCACAGGCCATCCACTGCAGAGGGGTCACGTCGTAGTTGTGCTGCCCCACGGAGAAGGTGAACACCCGCACCTGTGGCAGAGCATGCACTGAGGGACACCCACTGGGCACCCCTGTTTTCAACACTCAGTACTCCTAGCCATGACCACCTCCCCAGGGACAGTGTGGCATTGCCTGCCATGCCCACACAGTGAGTGCAAGCAGGCAGAAGACTCCGCAAGTGCTGCCTCTGCTGGCAGCAAGGGAGTCCCTGTCTCCTTGCCTGGCCCCAGCCAGTCCTGCCCTCCAGCATTACTTTGTTGGCTCAAGTCTCGTACCTCAGTGGTCCTTGCTGTGTGGCATCACTGCTCCCAGAGGGGTCTGTGCTCTCGGAGGGTGATACAGGGGCCAGAACACCCCCACCCCACAGGTTTCCAGGTACTGAGCAGCAACTGAGACCTTCTGGCTGGCTCATCTGCCTGCCAGCAGCCCTGTCCCCGTGCTTGGGGTGTGCTCCCCTCAGGGCCAGCATTCAGGGAGCCCACCAGCCCCATTCCCTCCCCAGCATCCCACACTGTGCTGGGTCCTAGAGGAAGGTGGGAGCCAGCTACAAACCCTTCAGCAGGGCAGTGGCTCCATGCAGGAGCAGGCTGGTGGGGAGGGAGGATGGCAAGGAGGCAAACGGAGCAGAAGCCAGCAAGGGAGCTGGAGCAGCCATCTCCCTGTGAGGTGAGCAGCCCCAGCCCAGCACACAGACCCACGGCCTCTCACCGTCTTATTGGGCCAGTTGTACTTCTCAAAGACGTCCTGCACTCGGTCCTCGCCGCCGTCCGTGAACATCATGATCATCTTGTTGCAGTTGGCACGCGTGATGTTGGACTGTGGGGCAGACACAGCCCCTGAGGCCACACCTGGAGCCAGCGGTGCTGGGCACAGGGCTGGATGCAGCCCCAACCCACCTCTTTCCCCTGCCCATTTCTCTGGGGCGGGGGTGACCAGGCTGAATGGGCAGGAGGGACACTGCCAGCTGGGGAATGGTGTTGTGGCTAACGCCACTCGGCACCTAATAGCACCATTCATCTTTATCTTGCCTCTGGCATGGTGTCTGGTTGGGTCTGGCCCCTCCACCCAGCCCTGCTAACTTTTAGAGAGGAGTAGCACCAGCAAAACCTTGGCTACAGCACGCCTGGAGGTGGGATGTCTCCCCCAGCACTGAGAAGGAGCACCGGGAGCCCTCAGCACAGGGCAGCAGCCAGGCACTCGGAGCTGTCCCACCATCCCCAGCACCCACAGGTGCACTGTCCCCACCCACGGCCCAGCCCCCAGCTCACGTTCTGCAGCTGGTCGAAGGCGTACTCAAAGCCAGCCTTGTAGTCTGTTGTGCCCTTGGCCACCATGCCCTGCACGTCCTCCTTGAACACCTTCTTGTTCCGGATGTTGGCCTGCACCAGGTGCTTGAAGCACGACACCGGCTTTGCCTTCTCATTGAACTGCGAGGGGAAAGGGAGGGGAGTGGGTCACACAAAGGGGACAGGGCAGACACCAGCAGGCACAAGCCACTCATCACACTCAGTTCTCACGGGCAGCAGGTGACCCAGACGTGTCCCACATCCCGGGAGGGCTGATGCTGACGCTGAAGTTTGGCTAGGGACAAATTCAAAGGGGACAGGGCAGACACCAGCAGGCACAAGCCACTCATCACACTCAGTTCTCACGGGCAGCAGGTGACCCAGACGTGTCCCACATCCCGGGAGGGCTGATGCTGAGGCTGAAGTTTGTAGGGACAAATGCAGCACTGAGCTGTGGGGTAGTGCTGGCAGTGGGTGCTGACCACTGCAGACAGCCGTGCTGTGCCGCTCTGTGCTGGCATCGGGAGCAGGTGCTGCCTCTCACTTACAGCTTCATTTACCGGCAATGGGGCCCATTCATTAGGGGAGCGGCGATCAGGAACAGAGCCAGGCCAGACGTGCTAATTAGTGCCGGTGCTGGTGGCCAGACAGGGGAGGGGCAGCCAGGGACACGCAGATGTGGCGGCATGGCCGCTGTGCTGCGTGAGGTCACGAGCTGGTGACATAGCCGTGGGGTGCCAGGTGTCAGCAGCTGGTGACGACAGGAGTTGGCTGGCTGGGAACATCTCTGCCAAATGCCCTGTGGTAGGGGCAGCTTTTGTGTCCTGAGCCCTGAGCTTGAGTTTCCTTGCTTACGTGCAGGTGGGTGGTTAAGAAGACAAAAAAAGGTATTTCTGTCTGCAGAGCCCTTAGCCAGGTGTGCGTGTGGGAAAAGGTTCCTGTGCTGGGGGGCTGGGAGGTGCCTGGGGACAGCCCTTTTGCTTGCCCCATGGCACTCACCGAGGCCACATTGACATAGTCATCATCTGAGAGGGTGTCCAGCATCTCATAGACCGAGGTCTTCATCAGCTTGAGGGTGAGGCCGCTCACACTGCCACTCCTGCAGGAGACAGCAGTGCTGGGGGCTTGGCAGCAAATCAGCACAGGGTTGTGCTGTCCCCCACAGCTTCCCTGCCGCCACTGGTGGGACAGTGGCACCCTGGGGAGCTGTGCCAGCACCCTGGCCTAAGCCCAGCCATGGCCCCCAGTGTGTACTCACACGTCCACAATGATGACCATGTCCTTTGGGGAGGAGGCACCTTGGATGTACCTGTGGGGTACAGAGTGGGGTCAGCAGGGTTGACTCATTTTGGGGTGACCTTGACTGTGCAGCCCAAGAGTGAAACCCTGCCAGGGCACAGGCACTGGGGAGCTGTGCTGGGAGCCCCGGGCAGCCAGGGCTGTGGTGACCCCATGGCAAGGAGCAGGGACGAGGTGGCTGTGGGCAGGTGGCAGCGAGGACGCAGCTCCTGTGGCACAGCACAGCAGACAGCCAGCGACTGCTGCTCCACACTGTGTCAGCCTAATGAGCTCTAAATGCTAAACTCTTCCATCATCGCGGGCCCTTTCCTGCGTGCTGATTATGCTGACACACACATCCATATTAAGATGCTATTTACCCCCCTGGTAGCTTCAAAGGCCAGGCTGATTAGGTTATTTTTAGCTACAAGGAGGAAAAATAATAACACTGCGTAAATCTTCCCCACTGAAAACAATTAGGGAACCCTTCCTCACCCCTTGAAACAACTGGTCCTGCTCCCAGCCCTGCTGTGCCATCCTGTGTGGGAGGGGCTGGCACAGTGCTCAGCACCCATCCTACCCCAGACATTGCCACACATGGCCCCATGTCACCATGCCATTGCAGGAGGCCTGACCCTGCCCTGGCTGAAGGCCAAGGGAGCCTCATTATTGGCTTGATCAGGATCGGGCCTCGTGTGAATTAATTAGTGTGTCATTAGTATCAATTACTCACCACTACTGGGGAGGACTGGGGAAGGGGCAGGCTCTGATTGTTAATCCCAGGGCCTGATGTTCCCTAATTACAAGTGATTACCCGGGTGGGATGCAGGATGCTGGCACATGGGGCCCTCCTGACACGGGTGCAGCCTCCCCCAGCAGCTTCCTCTGGTGCTGGGGTGAGGACTGGCAGCTGCTCCTCCCTGCCGGCATGAGAGGGGCTCCGGAGCCTGCCGTGCTCCCGGGGCTGCTGGTGCAGCACAGAGCCCAGCTAAGATGCTGCCCGTAATGGGCTGTGGCAGCACATCCATCTCCGGCTGCCCGGCTCAGATGAATACCCTGGGCTCGGCAGGAGACGGCTGTGCCTAATGGGGCCATTCATCAGGGAGGGCACGGCGGTGAGTGGCACCCGTGGCTGTGGCCAGGATCATGGCCCTGGAGCAGGGAAGGCCGTGTCCTGCACAGGGCCCCACTGAGGGCAGGAGCAGGCCCCAGAGGGGGTTCCCCCAGGTGTGCTGTCCCCCAGCATGGAGGGTGCTGCTGCTCCTCCACGGCAGGCTGGACAACCCGGTGGCCAGCCTGGCTAGTGGGCAGAGAGCTGGGCTCAGTTGCCCCCATACACATCAGCAGCCCCCACCCCAAAACAGCCTTCCAGTCCCTGCTCTGCAATAACCTGCACAGGCACTCCAGCAGGGAACAGTTAATAATTAATGTGGAGCAATCAAAGGCAATTAACCATAGTAGCAGGGCCATTAATTTTCTGACAAGGAGAGGGGGCAGCTCCTGATGTGGGCAGGGGGAGGATCCATTGGGATACAGGGCTCCCTGGACACGTGCCAGAGGCCTGTGCCCACTCTCCTCTCCACGACTGCAGTTTTAGGCAGCAGGTGTGGGCAGGATGGGGCTGTTGCTCCCCAGCTCCAGCTGATAACCAGCACTGCCACACCAGCACCTCCAGCTGGGCCGAGGGGAGCCCATTCAACCCCAGCTCACTTGGTGTGGGCTAGAAGGCTGCTCAGATATCACCGAGCCACAGCCTGCTGCTGCCTGCCCACTCCTCTCCCCATCCTCCCAGCTCACGTTTTCCAAGCCAGTTGTTATCACATTTGGATGGGAATGCTGGCCAGGAGTGAGTGCCAGCAGCCATGGCTGTGGTGAGGGGGCATCGGGCTCTCTCCACACTTTCATCTGCACCCAAGGATTTATCTCTCCATCCTGCTCCACTTTCCCAGGAAGAGGGAAGGGGAGAGAAGGAGCCAAGTGCCACAGCTCAGATGCCCGCGCCTGTGTTACGGTGTCCCTTTGCCAGTGCCAAAATGCAATGAAAAGGGGAGGGAGCCGGTGGCTGCCAGCCAGGACCCTCCTCCCACCCAGCACCCCTTACCAGGGCCGCCGGCGCACGTCATAGAGGTCGATCTTATTGGGGGCTCTCCATGGGGTGGCTGTGGGGAGAAGGCAGGCAGTGAGCGAGGCAGGGCTGGCCCGGGGTGGGGAATGGGGACACAGGGGACAGGGCAGGAGATGCCCAGGGCTGAGGAAGCAGCAGGCTCAGGCAGGGAGCTCAGACCAATGGCTTCTGGCACAGCACAGCTCCACGTGTCAGACCAGGCCCAGGGGCGTGCTGTCCACGTGGAGCCTGGGCTGCCCTTGGTCACAGCCCCTGTGCCACAAGCCCTGGCTGGCACGCACCGGGGTAGTAGCGGGTGACGCCGGTGGCGCTGCCGAAGACCTGCCAGAGCAGGGAGGGATCCTCCTTGCGGTTCTCGATGAAAACGTCCTCCAGGGCCTGCGTCCAGTTCAGCTCGTTGAGGATGACGGTGGCTGCAGGACACAGAGACAGGCGTGGCTGGGGGGAGGGAGCAGTGGAGCTGGGGGTGGGCTCAGGGGTGATGGGACTGCGGTGTCCCCAGGTGGTGGCAGGAGGAGGTGTGTCCCCTCTGTCCCTTCCCAAGAAGAAGCTCAGGGGGGCTTTCATCTTCTCCTACATTCCCTCAACCCCCTCACTTCCACAAGGCTCCAGCATCACCCTGCTGTCCCTGTCCCTAGAGAAATGAGCCACTTCTCAGAGCTCCCCAGAGTGCTCACTGTCCCCATCTGCTCTGGGGCAGACACAGCCATCACTGGGGACAGCTGGCCTGCCATCTCCACTCCCTTCCCAGCAAAACTCCCTGTGTGAGCCTCGCTCCCTGGGGACAGTCACCGGCTGGGAAACCCAAGGCTGGTGTCCCCATGGGCCATGTGGAGCCTCCCAGGCCCACTCTGCATTCCCACTGGCCCTGCACCTGACACAAAAGCAATTAAGATGCTGGCAAACAGCAGTTTTAAATTATTCAGCTATTAAAGCACAAGATAAGCTGCCGGCAGCCCCAGCCTGTGATTAATCAAGGGGGGGGCATGTGGTGTGGCAGGAATGGGGCTGGCTGGCTGGCAGGGAGCTGGGATGGCACCTCCCTCTGCTCGTAGGGGGACCCCAAATGCTGTGGGAGGGGAATCCCACGATGATCACTGGTGCTGGGTTGCCCCAGGACTGCAGCACAGAGGAGCCAGTGGTGGGTGCAGGAGCAAGGAGCCAGCAGCACCCTGAGACCAGGCACTGATCCCTCCTGGGGGACCCTCAATGCATTTTTGGGGTGCAAGGACTCTCAGGAGCACCCCATCTCTTTGGCATTAGGCAAAACAACACAGTGTGGTGCTGCAGGGAAGCCAGCGTGCATTTGAGCAGTAAATTTAGCTCTCCTAAGCCTTCCTCCCACACTTGTCCCTTTGGAAACACCGTCATCACCCATTCCAGCCTTCACTGTGGTCCCAAGGCACTGGCAGGATGTGGGTGGGTTTCCCAGGATGAATCCTGGATCCCTCTATCCCAGCAGGACTGCTGAAGAATTGTCTTTCCCTCAGGCAGCCATGCCTTCAAACCATGATTTACTCTACCCGTATCTCCCCAGCCATTCCTCAGCGCTGTGCCCACACACAGTGCTGTTATCTGGGCACTTAGGATGATTTCTTGTTTGGCTCTGACACTGGATGTGGTTTTTCCCAGGAGAAGTGGCTACGAGCTGGCTGCCAGGCTGCTGCCTGCCTGGAGCAGCCCTGGGCAGTGCTGCCAGCCTCAGCTGGGCACGGGGCTGAGCCCTGACACATCCATGACAGCCCTGGCAGCACCTACACACCCAGACCCTCGGGGCCACCAGCCACACCAGCTGTTTGTACTGAATGCAACTCACATTGTCCCTGTGCCCAAACACAGCCCTTCTGTTATCTCTGAGCACCCATGCAGCCCCTACACCTTCCCTGGACATGAGTGTAGCCCCCATATCATCCCTGTGAACAAACACAGCTCCTACTCTCTCACATGTGCAGGGTGATGAAGCTGTGTCCTGCTTGGGATGGCGCCTGTCCCTCTCAGCCGAGGTCAGAGCTGCCAGCCCCACTGGCGACATCCCCGTCGCTGTCCCCATCTCGTCCCTGTCCCCATCAGAGTAAGCCCAGCCCCGCCCTGCCCGCGAGCGATTGCATATTTAATTAAAAACGGCACAGTAAATAAAACACATATAGGATGTAATTTGTGTGTGTAGCGAGGGGTGACGGCGGCGGGGTTTAATCAGCGTGCCAGGCAGCGACAGCGCCTCCGCGCCGCTCCCGCCGGGACGCGCTCCCGCACACAGCCCTGCGGGGACGCGCCACGCTCACTGCTGTCCGGGCAGGACAGGGGCCCTGTCCCCACCCCAAACCACTCTCTGTGCAGCAGCAGCAGCAGTTTGGACCCTCCCCTGCACCCCGGATCGCTGGAGCAGCCCGGTGTGGCCGGACCTGGCCCGGTCCCTGTGCCCGCACGCTCTGTGCCCGTGGCTGCAGCCCCTTTCCCGGACTGACAGTCCCTGCACTGTCACCCCCCAGTGCCACATCCCCTCTCCAGCAGCCCTCTCTGAGCAGCTGCGAGTCCCCGGAGCGGAGATTCATCTCCAGCCTGCTCTGCTCCGGGCTGGGCTGATCCGTGTGCCCGTGGCGGGGCTGGCGAGCAGGCTGAGGAGGAGCGAGTCACGTCCCCCCGCGCAGCCCAGCCGGCTCGCACCGTGTGCCTCATCAGCTGCCTGGATGGGTAATGAAACGAATTGCAAATTCCTCATCCGCGGTGGAATCGCTGCAGCCGAGCGGCTCCGAGCGCCGCCGAGCACCGGGAACGCTCCGCTCGGGGCACGAACGGGAGCTCGGCCCCCACCGCCACCACCACCCCCAGCCAGTGCCACCGAAACACGGGTGTGGGGACAGTGGTGCCCCGGGTGGCGTGGGGCAGCCCGTGCCAGCAGGGTCCGGGGCTGGGCGCAGGGCGCTGGGTGCTGGGTGCTGCAGGATGCCCTCCAGCTGGGAGCCGAGCAGCCACTAGAGGGAAATGGAGACCGACTGTCACCATGTGCCACCGCAGCAGGGCGAGCTACCGGAGAGATCTGAAAGCTCAGGGACGGTCACAGCGCTCGGTGGGGACTGAAGGTGGTGTGGCACATCCTGTGCCATCCATCCCTGCCCGCTCCCGGGCTGGCCCACCAGCCCATCCCGGTTCCTGGAGCAGCCTGTGCCTGCGGCAGCCACAGGGGCACGGCCTGGCCCCCTGCACGTCCCGGCAGCAGGGGCTTAATTAGCTACGGGGTGGCATCACGCTGTCCTGCAGTCACCCTTGGCTGCCTTCCTGCGGGACTGCAGCTGCTTTTTCTCCCTTTTCATCACCTCAGCCCCATCCCTGCTTCACCCTCTGCCACTGCCCAGCCATGTCTCACTCCCTCCCTCCTACAAGCAGGTTGGTGCTGCCTGTGCAGCTGCTGCTGCACAGAGCTGCTTCATCCCTTTGAACATCTCTGTGCCTGCTTTGAGCCTTCTCGAGCTTTGCTGGGCTCTTCTGCAGGAGGATCAGAGCCATGTGGGCACAGCTGAGCTTTATCCTGGGCCATAATCACCACCTCTGCTTTGCTCCCCATCCCTTCCCTAATAACTCCTAATCCCTGATCTGCCTCTTTTGCCTGTGCTGAGCTCTTGAGAGTCCCTGGGGAGGGACACATTGTCACCTTGATCCTGATACGGTGACACTGCCTTCACCAAGACCCAGTTGGGGCACCCAGAGCTGATGGTCCCTGAGGCTGCAGGCAGGAGAGATGGATGCCCAGCCAGGCAGCAGGAATTGGAGAGGGTGAGGAGGGGCACTCACAGCCTTTGTAGATGTCCGTGGGGATCTGCACGGCAGCGTATGAATAGTTAACCTTGGTCTTGAAGTTGTCATCATCAGTAAACTCCAGCTTCAAGGAGTTGGACTTCTCCCTCTCGATCTCTTCTCCATCGGGGTCGTCCTGGGGAAGGAGCAGAGTGCATGGGGTCACCCAGGGTTCCAGCCCTGGATGGACATGGGAATTCCTCCACCTGAAGCCCATTGGGGGAGACCAGCCCTGCTGGATCCCATATGGATTTGGCCTGCCAGGAGCTGGTGGGCACAAAGGCAAGCACTGGTTACCCCTTGTCTCTCCAGCTTTGGTAGCACAGCAGGTATTAAATCAGACACAGAAAAAAAAAATCAAAAAAAGGCCTTGAAAATCAATTAGCAGCAAAAGGCAACTATCAAAGAGCAAATTAAAACGGAGTGCAGCTTAGCGCTCTGTCAATAAGCAATGCAAACAATATTTAATTATGGTGGAGAGACAGCGAATTCCCCACCGCTGGTGCTGCAACACACTCCCTCACCTTCCCAGCCCTCTTCTCCATTCCCCAGCCCTGCTGCCAGCATGGCACTGGGGGTAAAACCCCTCTGGAAAGGCAGGCAGGGCTGAGCTGGTGCAGGCAGAACAGCTGGGTGGTTGCAGGCAGGGGACAGGGTGGGAGCTGAAGCGCGGGGCCATGTGGGGAAGAGTGAGAATGGGGGTGGACTCACTACAGAGCTGGAGAAATTGCCTCTGCCACCCCACCAGGAGCAAAGAAACCCAGGAGAAGGTGTTGGCTCTGAGCTGCCCATCCCTGCCACGAGCCCAGCAGCTGGGGAAGGCTGTCTGCAGCCAGCTGGGAGATGTTCAGGGTAGGAAGGAGGGAGAGGAGGATGCTGCAGCACCTGCACTTTGTGCTTCTGGAGCTACATCCCTGCTGAAGAGGGGCAGGGACACAGCTGAGAGCTGCCTGCACCATCCACAGGCAGGGACGGGCAACAGTGCCAAGCCCAAACTGGAACAGACACCTGAAGGGATGCCCCATCAGGTTCACGCTGCCCACAGCAAAGAACCACGACACCAGGAGATGCTCAGGGTAAGAAGGAAGGGAACAGACACCAGGTTCACGCTGCCCACAGCAAAGAACCACGACACCAGGGAACACAAGGGGTAGGCGATGCTCCCATCCTGCTGTCCTCAGTGGCCCACTGCAAGCACCTCTCCCACTGGCCAGGCTTCCCTCGACAACACCCAGGGAACAAAGACCTGAATTTCTCACAGGAAAAGCCATATATTTAAAGGAAAACTATGGGTTTGGGAAGTAAACGATGAAGCTTCTTTAACAACCATCCTGGCCCCCTCCTTGTTTCCCCTTCACAGATGACATGGAGAAATGTCACCTCCCCTGCAACACCTCCAGCCGGCCACTAAGGTGGTGACATTCCCATGACATTGAGAGGGGTGGCCAAAGCATTTGCCACAGCTCAGGAGAGTAACAGGATTGATGAGCAAGGTTTGGGTTTAATTCCAGCCGGTGGACTGTGAGTGTACCACACTGCCCAGCCGACCCCAGTGCGGGGGCTCCAGCTGCCCAGAAAGATGCTGGACTCAATTACAGCTGCACAGCCAAGCAGGAGGCAGGCAGGTTCCCAACTCCCTGCAGCCATGTCTCCGAGATCAAAATCCAGATTATGCTCTCAATTTTATGTAAATCTGGAGAAAAGGCAAAAACCAGACTGCTGGAGCCCCTGCAAAGCTGTGAGGCTGCAGCAGAGCCGGCACTCCAGGGACTGCCAGGCCATGGGCTACCTGGGGAGTGCATCTGGCCCCAAGCCTGCTGTCCGTGGGGCTCAGCTCTCTGGGGAAAGCACACACAATTCATCCCTGCAAACCTCTCTGAGCACCAGCCAGCGATACAGAGGTGCCTGCTGAAAGCAGGCTTTGGGATAAAGCCGTGGCCTGAGGGCATCTGCAGCACCAAAAACTCTGCTTTGACACTAAACCCTTTTCTTCCTCATCCAGCAAATTCCTGGTGACAGCTCCCCATCTCTCCCCATCTCAGATCAGCAAGGCACCCTGCCACAGCCCATACACTGCCCCTGTCACCACCAGCAGCTGGAAAATCCAGCCCTCCCTCTTTCCCTCACGCTGGCATGGCTATTCCCCACTTCATCGGAGCTGGAACTACTGTATATAATTACTGCTCCTCTGTTTATCATTATTCTGTGATCTCACCCACTTCTCAGGGGCTAATTTGTATGCTGCCAGGTTTGGTGCTGTCTGGCTGCTCTCATTCATGGAGCTGTGAAGAGGCACATGTATAGATCTTGGGGACAAATATACAGCTATCTATACGAGGGGCACTTCATGCATCACTGACACCTATATGGCAAACAGACCTGCAGGAAGGGCTCCTGTTATCCAAGCTACATTTGCCCTTTATCCATAAATCCCCCAACCTCAACTGAGTTATTTCTGTTTAAGCCAGGCTGAATTTGGCCCCTGAAGGGGGTTAGTTTCCAGCCACATGAAGGCAGGTGAAGCTGTAACCAGCCCAGGCAGGGAGGGGAGATCTGGGTTACAAAGAGACACCTTGGGAAGGCCGAGGGAAGAAATCCTGCATTAAATTTAAATCAGAGCAAAGCAGATGATTCAAGTTATCCCGAATTTACATCGGTTTAACTGTGAGCATCTCGGCAGGCCCCCAGCCAGATCTTGCAGCATTCCTCATCATTACATTTCAAAAGAACTTGGAAACATCTATTTATCTGTTACAGTGCATACAACATAACACAAATAGATGCTACACTTTGAATATATTATTTGCTACACACCATTAGAAATCGACTTCATGGCAATATATCAATATGATACATATTTACTGCTTCAGCAAGAAGTCATCACGCCCTGAGAGCTTTTGCCACCTCCGCTGCTTTCACAGCTGGGTTGTCAGTCACATTTTCTCTTCAGTCTCCCAAAAAGACGGACAGGACAAAACCCAGAGATGCCCCAACACCCAGTGAGCACCCAACAGCTTTACTGGGGGCTGCCACGCTCTGGGCAATCGCCTGCCCCCTGCTCCATCCAGGCTGGTGCTGGCCGAGGAGAGCCAGCCTGTCCCCGGGCACCGGGACTGTCGTGGTCCCCAGGAGCCGTGCAGGGAGCCGGGGCAGCAGCCATGCCGATCTGAGCTCCCGCAGATGCAGCCCCCCCGTTCACTGCTCATCTCCATGGGAACCAGCCATCACAGCTAATGACAATGACGGCTGCTTAAATGGCAGCGCCGGTGACAAAGGCAGGGCTGATCCGGCCGCAGCATCCCTGCCTCCCCCGGCCTGCCCCACGCACCGAGATGCCAGCACAGCCTTTTCAATCTCCCAGGGGCACCCATCCATGCTAAGTCTGGAAAGGCCAGCGAAATATTCCTATCAACACGCTGTGGTTCTGCTAATAATGGATATAAATGCCAGCCCCCAACACATGGCTGAGAAACTCCAGGCCTGTGCAGAAGGGTCTTTCTCCTTAAATATATCAGTTTTTCCTGAAATGCAGTAATTTAATGCTGAGGAGGGAGATGATGTGTTCTCCAGCCACATTCCTGCTTTTACAGCAGCCCAGGTTATAAATAACAATCAGCTTCTCCAGCCAGCCTGCTCCCCTATCCCCCTTCGCTTTTTTTAATCTTTGCCAAAGGTACTGTTTAGAGATCTTTCTAGACCATTTATTTTTAAATTACCAGCCAGAGGAGAGAAGTTAAAAAAATAAGAAAAAAGAAAAAAAGCAAAAGAAAGAAACTTCTGGGGCTGATAGCTTATCGTGAGGAAATCCAAATGTCACATTAGTTGAGAAAGTTGGAAGATTAAATTTTCCAACACCCTTCATCTGCTGCTGCTGACATTTCGGGGCTTTTTTCCCTCCCCTCCTTCCCCTCCTTGCTGCATGTACTGAGCAGGGTGAGCAGAGAGAAGGGTGAGCAGTGAGAGGGCAGCCCCACCTCCCCTGCAGCAGAGGGGCTGAGGCTCCCACCCTCAGCCCCTGGCTCTCAGCCCTCCCCAGGACCTGAGGCGGGTGGCTGGGGGCTGGAGGGCTGACCTTGGGGCCAGGACACCTTCACACAGCTGGGCTGTTTTCCACCTGAGTACAGCACGTCCCAGGCTCAGCTGTGACAAGCACCATCCCCTGCCACGAACACAACACAAAAGATGGAAAATGAATTTATTTCTGTGTTGTTCTGCCTGTGACGCCCAACCGAGACTGTCTGCTGATTTCAACACTTCTCCCCACATAAACCCCATGGTCCTTGCTAGCGGGGAAAGGTGAAAACTTCCCTTCTGCAAACATTCTGACAGCTTTGGGGACCCCTGGGAAAATCTTCTGATAGTCCCATTTGTTAAAAACCACTTGGAAATCCAAAGTCTGTTTGGGCAGATAGTGGAGCTGAGGTGCAGGCAAGATGAATAAGAAGCTCATTTCCTCCTCACTGCAGCTAAAGCCAGTGTAAGGCTTGTGAATAAGCCCCAGTTATGGGCAGCAGCCATTGTCCATCAGCACCAACTCTGGCTCAGATATGTCCTGCTCCATTTAAATAGAAAATTTGAAGCTAAATAAAGAAAGGATGGAAAGAGCACTATTACGTTCCATTCAGACTTTCTGGTATAATTTCTCTCCTTTTTTTCTCAGCAGCATCTTCTTTTTTTTCCCCCCATTATTTTTGTTGGAATTAAATTTGCTGGGATTTCACTGGTAAGGAAGCAACAGCAGAGGTAGGGAAGTGTCCTCCCTGCCAAACCCACATACATCAAGAATAGGACACCCCCAATTTTGCAATTTTGCTCGGTATCTCCCCAGAGCAGGACTAAAGCTGATGTGGCTGGTGAGGGATTTGCAGGGCTGTTCCTCTTTGATATGTCAGCTCCTTTGGGCAAGGGAGGGATCAGGGAGCTGAGCCCTGCAGTCCTCAGGGACACTGTGCCATGCCCCTGTGCACAGCCTCTCCCCAGTGTCCCCTGTGCTGAGAGGGTCCAAGGGCACAGCTCCAAGGTCGAGATGCCTCCTGTTTCCTAATCCTGCCTAATGGCACCAGGATGGTGGGGTGTGACACTCAGGGCAGCAGTGGGCATGGGGACACCCCCCTTCTGTCCCCTGCCCTGCATCAGTGATGGCAAAAGCCCAGCCCAGCCTGATGGATGCATTAGTGCTGCTCCTCATCCCCTGTGCTGGGAGTTGCTCTGCTCCCCAGGCTGTCTCCTCCTGCCTGAACCGCCAGCCAGTTTTTCCTTCACTCCTATCCAAAATCCCCTTTAATGTATTTTAAGCCCATTAGCTCCATCCTCTCCAGAGCAGCCATAGCAGGATCCTCTCCTCCCTCCTTTGCTAGCTCCCCCCAGACTGGAGGGGGGGACAGGACACTTCCTCTGCATCCTCAGCTGTAAATGAGTGGGACTGTGGCAGGGAGACCTGCTCAGGAGAGCAAGTGCCCTCCACCTGGGACACAGCATCTGCCCGACCGCCCCATCCCACCTCCCAGACTCTGTGGCTGCTTCCCCTGCCAAGGAGCCCTCTTACTGTCACTGCCTGGGGACAATGGCACTGGCAGTTAGTCAGAAACTCTGCTTTGAAGGCATCCATCCATCCAGCCTCCTCCACTCCAGCCTGTCCCTGGCTCTGCTCTGGGAAGAAACTCTGCCATCCATCCATCCATCCATCCAGCCTCCTCCACTCCACCCTGTCCCTGGCTCTGCTCTGGGGCATAGACTCCCAGGTGGGTCGAGAGGAGAGACAGTGCAGTGCATGTCACCCAAGCTGGTGGGACCCCATCAAGCCCCCTGGCTCTGCTCTGGGGCATAGACTCCCAGGTGGGTCGAGAGGAGAGACAATAGTGGGACCCCATCAAGCCTAGATGCTCCCCTCCCTTCTGCACAGGGCCTTCTGGATGCTCTTGAGGTCACCTGAGTGTTATTTTTGGATAAGGTCTGTGGTTTGCTGCTGACACCATGTTCTCTCCCACTGTGTTACTGTCTCTGCTGCCAGGTCTGCCTGGGGACAAGGAGCAGTCCTGGAGCAGCAGCACTGGCTGGGGCTGTCCCCAAGGCTGCACCCTGCTGTGCTTGGGGCTCCTGCTCAGCTCCAAGGACTCTGCCCAGCAGCCTCACACCAAGAGCATCACTGACCTGTTTCGTAAGGATCCCGCAGCAGTGGGGGAGCTGGGAGACCTGGCAGCAAAGCGGGGAGCCCCAGGGCAGAGAGGGGTGCCCCAGGGCAGCAAGCACTGCTGGTGGAACTCCCCGTGCCCGTGGCACAGCACCTGAGTGAAGTCACCCTCACTGTCACCACGGGGAGGAGCCGGCAAGTGCCATCTCTCTCGGGAGCACCGGGGGATGGGAGCTGACAGGCCCGCAGTTAAAGCACTGATTGCCAGAAATCACAGGATGGCTATGCTCCGAGTAGGGCAGAGAATTAGATTCAGGCTCTAATTAAAGGTTTGCTCTTCATTTGAATTTCAGATGCCGGCTTTAATTTTAGAAACTTTTGCAGGCAGCAGAGCGACCTGCCCACCTGCCTGCTGCCAGGCCCGGTGCTGGTGGCCAGATGTCACCAGGGCTCAGCTGGGGGGACACGGCTGCACACCGGGCACTTGCTGCCCGCTGCAGAGTCTGGTTACAGCGGCTGTGACAAATGCTGTGCCGTGACCCCTGCTGCTGTGCTGGGACAGACTGGCGAGGGGCTCAGCCCTGCGCCAGGGTGGTGGCTGAGCCAGGGTGCCACAGAGACAGCACTTACATATTCAGTGTCAGCCTTGGAGTCGTAGTACTCGATGTCTTCCTCCTGCAGAGAAATGGGAGAGCTGTTAGTGCCAGTCAAGGTCAGGGATGGGAAAGGAGTTCCTCCCCCTGACTCGTCCCCTCAGCACCTCTCTCATGCTCTTGGCAGCCACCACATTGCTGGGGACTGAGCCCTTCCCAGCCCATGCTGTCCTTGGCACATGTTCAGGACCTCATGTCCTCCACATCACCCTCCAAGGACTGGCCATGGCCTGCCATACTTCCCTGCACTCCTGACTGCTGCTGAGCCACAGCACTGCGGGGCCAACTGCCCTGTGACAGTGACACCGGTGTGACCGCAGCCTCTGCACTGTCACCAGGTGCCAGCCTGTGCCACGTCCCCACAGCCAGGCTGCTTTGGTTCTGTTGCAAACATCAGGAACCACAGAAGAGGCAGGTTTAGGCAGCATGGCAGGCAATGGCCCTGCAGCCACCCAGGCCCCCTCCCTGCACTGCAGAAACAGGGAGAAAAGTGTCCTTGCTTCCACAGAGAAATGCACGTCGTTAATTTGGGGTATTTAGAACCTATTTAAGCAGAAAGGTCTGCTTGGATTCCTCTTCCCAGAGTGTCAAGACTCGAGACAGCTGATAAAATTCCTGAAGAGGCAATTGGGAGAGCAGCGATGCTGTCACAACAGCATTCCGTGTACCAGTAGAAAGGGTAATTAAAGGGCACTCAGGGACTCTTCCCAGCGTGCCGGCCCCAGTGCCATGCTGGCACACGGGCAGCGCCGTGGTGCTGACACGCCTGCCAGTCAATCTCCATCGGCACGGGCAGCGCCTTGGGTCATTATTGCTGCTGTTATCATTTAACGAGGAAAGCGATCTGGCCCCGAGCAGAAACGCGGCCGAAGCCTCAATGGCACTGACTGCATCCCTGTCCTGCCTGCCCCTGCTCTGGACAGACCGGGACACAGCCCTGTGCCAGGCACGGTGGCACTGTGACATCCAGCCCAGCCTGGGCACGGCCAGGAGAGGCAAGCAGCTCTCCAGGCAGCACCACCATCCCACCAGCCCCGCTGAGCGCTGGCAGTCACTGCCCCTCACCGGGATTACCCTCTTATAGCCACAAAATCCCTCCCCAGGGTGGTTTGCCATGGCTTCTCCCGGCTTCCCAAGAGGGGGGAAACCCCTGAAGCTGATCTTGGGGACATCAACAGCAGGGGACCCTGGCAGGCTGTGCAGCCGGTGTCTCCCCGGGATGGCGATTGCAAAGGGCAGTTCCAGCATCTTCCTGAGCAGAGGAAGATTCCCGTCGCTGCTGCGGGCTCTGCCACTCTTAGTGATTGTGATAAGGCAGCACCGGGAGGGGAAAGTAAAAAAAAAAATTAACGCAGCATCTTCCAATTTCTGCTATTAAAAAGCCCAGTCATTAAGGGAACACACTTATTAATTATCTGTGATTTGTTGTGAAATGCTGTGGGGTTTACAACAACAAGAAAGGCAAAAAAAAGAATTAATTTCTCTTCAGCTGGCCTTGCCGCGCCGCTGCCGGCCCCACACACGCCCCGGCCCCTCTCCCCGGGTCCGCGGCCATCTGCACTTCCTAATTAAAGGAACCCCCGGGAGACCCGTAACACAAACCAGCTAATTTCATGTTTAATGATCTTTAATCAGGAGCGAGTGTGACTAACAATGGCCATCCAGAAGGTGCTTTGTTGTTCATTTTATTTGCCACTGGCTCCTCGGAAAAGCTCGATTCCCCTCGCAGCCACAGAGACCCCACTCCGCAGCGCAGAGGGCATGGGGTGATGGTGCTGGGTGATGGTGCTGGGTGATGGTGTTGGGTGATGGTGTTGGGTGATGGTGCTGGGTGATAATGCTCGGGCAGGACAGCCCGTCCCCGATCCTGCTTTCCCCGCTCCAGCACTCCCACAGCACAGGGCATGGCACAGGGAGAAGAGCACATCCCTCCCACCGATTCCCCCAGGGATCACAGAGCCCTTGCCAAGCCCTGACAACCCCAGGAGCAGCTGGGTGAGATCTCAGCCACACTCAGGCTGTGGCTGAGGTTCCTACATGTGAGACAAAACGTGTGGGACAGCCAGCATCAGCGTGGCCCTGGCCCTGAGATGTGCCCTGATGGCAGGCTCCAAAATCCTTGCCCTGCTGATGCTGGGAGGCTGGGGGCTTTTCATGGGGTCCAAGGGAGACTGGGGGAGCTGGCAGGGCATCTGTGCCCTTGCCACTTGGAAGCCTGTGTCTGTTCCAGGAAGGAGGGAGAGAGCCCTCAGAGATGCTCTAAAAAGATGCCATGAGTGTTCCAAGAGGCAACAAGGGGTCCTACAATTTCTGCTCCCAAATATTTTTTTAAAACCACATTTGCGTTCTTCACATAATCCTCTCTTCCTCTGCTCCATGTTAAACTCAGCACCAGGTCTGTGTAAATAGCACTGGTATTTCTAGAGCCCTTCAGAATAAATACCAATAAAGAAAACAAGGGGGTGAAGACGTCAAGGGATTTTGAAGCAAAATATTGTCCCTGTCTCTTGCAACCGAGACTGCAGGAAGCACACACTGGTTCCCACTGCAGGGGAGGCTGCCAAGGAGGAGCTGCTGCTCCATGATGTGTTAACCACTGCCCATTTTCTTACCTAAATTGCCAAGTGCCACCTGCACAATGGCACTGCATGGCTGTGTTGCTGGTGGGTACGTGTGGGGTTATTTCAGCTCCTGAAGTGCAACTCTCAGTGCAACATTAAACCCTGGGAGCTCAGTGCAATCCCAGCCTGATCTGCAGCTGTCCCTGCAGCCACGGCCCAGGCTTCTCCAGCAAGGCCACCAAGGAATCACTGCACCTGCACCAAACCCTTGTGGTTCAGTGTCACTGGGCAGCCCCTGGCCAAGGCTTGACCCAGGTGGGGCCTCCTGGAGGTGGCCCTGGGGATGCTGCATGCCAGAGTCCCCCCAGGGACCTTGGCTCCTTCCTCACCCCCCTGAGCCCTCCCTAGGTGCCCTGTGCTCCACACCTTCACTGTTTTCATCCCAAAATGCCAAAAGAAAAGCTAATCAAAAATCCAGGCTGTGAGTTCTGGAGAGCTGCAAGCTGGAGCCTTGCCAGTGGCACAAAGGAGGACCCTGCTCTGGCACTGGTGCTCCCTTGACACACAGCAGCAGAACAGGTATGAGACAGAGCCCAGGACAAAGAGGGGCACACAGGTGTCTCAGGTGGATGGTGAGGGGCACTCCCCCCACAACCCCTGACACAGCCCTCGACAAGCATCCAAATAGATCTTTTTTTGCCTAAAACAATTACAGCAACTAAAAACAGTGCTAAAAAGGTCAGTGCTCTGTAATCTCGCTGCAGCCTGGAGATGTCTGGATGGAGGGGTGCTGGCCCAAGCCTCCAAGTCAGCGACCTAACGAGGTGGCAATCAAACTATATCACACACAGAGCTGCCACCATCCTAAAAATCCTCGAAGGAGCTGTTGGCAGCACATCAGCTCCCTGCTTCAGCCATCCAGCTGGAGCACACAGCTGGCAGGGACACTGCAGGAGGGCTATGGCTCACTCTCCCCTATAGAGCTTTCCTGTAAAATCACCTAATCTGGCTAATCCTTCTCCCGACCTGTAGGATCTGTAGTACTCCACAGGATTGCTCACTGTCTCTTGTAAGGGTCACCCTGCTAATCACATGTCCTGGGGATGCTGCAGCTCCCCGGGGCAGTTTTGCAGGCAGATCCTGCTGCAACACATTGATTTCGGTCCCTCTCAGCCTCTGGCTGTGGGTTTCATTTCTCTGAGCAGCACAGGTGACCCTTGTGGTCAGCAAATCTCTTTCAAGATTTAATTGGCTCTGGAAGAGCCAAATCCTGCAGCAGTTTGCCTTCAGGCAGTTAGGAGAAACTCAGAGGGTGGTGGGGAAGAAAAGATGGATCCCAAGCTGGCACCTGCCTGTTTTCCAGCCACTGGATGGAGCTGGTGGCAGCACCAGCATCCCAGGCCACAGCTTACCAATGTGGGGAAAGCCAGGTGATCAGAGCTGTGCTGGTCAGACACGTGGGCAACTCAGTGGGTGGGGAGAGCAAGCTGGAGCTGGTGTGCCCACACAGCCCTTGGGGCTCTGCTCAAAAGCCCACCTTTCCTCTGCCATCAGCACTTAGAGAGGACAGGGAGTATTTAGGTACTTCTTCATGTCCCTGAACTGTAAAGCACACAGAAATAGCAACAGCTTTTGCTTATATTGCACCTTTCATACAGAAGACATCCTGCACGTGTCACAGAGCTCCTGCAGCCTCACACCTGTGCTATGATGAGGAGCAGAGCGTGAGCAGGGACACAGCACGTCCCCACCACAGCATCACCCTGCCAAGCCCTCCTGGCCACGAGGAGAGTGATGGGGCCACCTGATGGCTGTCCCTGGGGATTGGTGTGTGCTGCTCAACTGGTCCTGGCTGGCAGCTGGGGCTGCAGGTCTCAGCCAGGTGAGTGCTCAGCCCGAGATGTCTGAGCCCTGCCGTGGGCACAGCAGCCTCTTGCCTGGGGAACCACAGAGCAAAGAAAGTGTTCCTGCTACACCTGCCACGGGCTGGTGTGAGTGCCACAGCCAGGAACAGGCTCCAAAGGGGCTGGATGAATTCCTGGGAGAAATTCCTACCTGCAATCACAGCCACACCTGGCTGTGGCCGGTAGGGGCTGAACTTTTATTTCCACTGGCTAGAGCTATTCTTGTCCATATGCACCACAATGAATCCTTTCCTAGTCCCCTGAAGAGGACAATATTCATGGTTAGCCCCAGCCACCACAGGCTGCTGGATAGACCCAGAAGGAGTCTGGTGGGGCCCATATTTCTCCTGCAGCACTGTGAATTCCCTGCATCCCATCCACCATCAGGGGCTGTACGCATTACCCAGGACAGGTGGAAACAGTCATCATAATCTGCCTTGGCATCTTTTTTTAAAAAGCAATTTCCTCCCTCTGCCTCTCTGACAGAGCTGGGGAAATATTTAAGTGACCTGTCAACAGTTTTTTCATCTCCCCAAGAAGATGTTTTATCTGATCAC